TGTGTGTGTGTGTGTGTGTGTGTGTGTGTGTGTGTGTGTGTGTGGTGCTGCAGATTGAATACAGGGTGCTCTACCACTGAACGACATCCCCAGTTCTTTTTATTTTAGGGCAGACTTTTGCTGTGTACCCCAGACTGGGCTCCAACTCTCGATACTCTTGCCTCAGCTTCTCAGAGTGCTGGGATTACAGGGACGGACCACCAAGCCGACTAAAGCTTTGTCTTATTTGCCCTGGGCCTGATCCTGTTCATTTTACAGAAGGGGAAACTGAGGTCAGCTTTGGTCACACAATGTGACAGTCGCCGTGGGGCCCCAGCCAGGCGTCCTATACTGTTTACAGCAGTTGCCTTTGCCCCAAAAAGCAAGAAGTGGTAAGAAAGGTCTTGGGGGGCCGGGGATTTACCTCAGTGGTTTCGCCACCTGCTGCGCAAGCGCAAGGACCTGAGTTCAATCCCCGGTACCAAAAAAAAAAAAAAATGAAAGGTCTTGGGAGGGCCGGGTACTTAGCTCAGTGGTTCCACTGCCTACCAATCCCTGGTACCAAAAAAAATGTCTCAGGAAATGTTCCCTTGCTGACAGCCTAAAATTCAAGAACTCAGTTGAAGCAACAATCTGTGACTCTGTCATGACCAGGCCTAAAGAAGAAAAGTGGAATCGTAGCCCAGCATGGTGGCACATACCTATAATCCCAGCACTCTGGGAGGCTGAGGCAGGAGGACCACATATTCAAACACAACATAGGCAATTTAGCAAGATCCTGTCTCAAAATTTTAAAAAAGCCAGGCATGGTGACACACACCTGTTATCCCAGCACTCAGGAGGCTGAGGCAGGAGGATCAGGCTAGCCTGGGCTGCTTAGTGAATTCAAGGCTAACCTGTCCTACAAAGTGAGAACCTGTATTAAAAAAACAAAAAGTTTTTTAGAACATTAAGGGCCGGGGGTGTAGCTCAGCGCAGAGACCCTAGGTTCCAGGAGGGCTGCCTAAGCCTGCTTCCATCTCCTGGCCCAGTCTAGCCCTTGCCTCAAGAGCTGGAGTCACTGAGGCTTCATGGGGCCACCTTGGGGGGCCTGGGGACACTACTCTGCCCTTGGGGGACCTGAGGACACCTGCCCTGAACAGACCCAGGTGAAGCACAGAACCAGCAGTGGATTCAAGCAGGTCTCTAATCCTAGGGGTGCTGTGTCCAGTCCTTGTCACTTGATTTGCTACCTCATAACCCCGTGTCCCTCACCCAGCTTCTGCTACCCAGATGGAAAGAACCGCAACCCAGACCTGACGGAGCTCTGCCAGGCAGAACCCCACCAGCGCATCCACGTGTCAAAGGTGAAAACCAGGAGCCCAGCACTCGGGAGACTGAGGCAAGAGGATTGCTACAAGTTTGAGCCCAGCCAGGACTACATAGTGAGGCCCTGTCTCTAAAATACCCAAACAAGGGCCGGGGATTTAGCTCAGTGGTTCCACCCCCTGCCTCCCAAGCGTAAGGACCTGAGTTTGATCCCCGGTACCAAGAAAAAAAACCAAACAAGGGCCAGGGATTTAGCTCAGTGGTTTCACCGCCTGCTGCACAAGCACAAGGAGCCGAGTTCGATTCCCAGTACCAAAAACACCAAACAAACAAAAAATACCTCACCTTGGCCTAGAGCCCATGGGCGGCTGTGTGACCTCAGGTCAATCCCTTGGCCTCTCTGCTGCCCAGTTCGCCCTCTGGAAACTGCAGCTCTTCCTGCCTCCCTCCCAGGGTTATCGTGGGTCTTGGAAGAGGAAGTGGTACTGCTGAGATCATCAGAGCAGCGAGTGCACTTGAGCGCTTGCCAGTGAGAGATTCTATTCACTGCTTATTGGAAATTGTTTTTTATACTTACAAGGGATGGAATCCAGGATCTTCACACAGAGCTACATCCCTAGTCCTTTTAAAAATCTTTTTAAAGACAGACTCTGGCTAAGTCACTACGTCCAGGCTGGACCCAGACTTGCAGCCCTCCTGCCTCAGCCTCGAAGAGTGCAGGCGTTACAGATGTGCGCCACCACACCCAGCTCAAAACTCAGATTTAATAGGGAGCCCTGCATCTTTATTTGCTAACTCTGGCAACCCGAGAGTAGACAACCCAGGGAGAAGCCTCCTGGCAGGCAGCGAGGATCTGGGGGTGGCAAGGGGCGGTGGCTTCCTGTGCTGCCCATCCCCCACCCCTACCTTTTGTTCTTGCTGCCTGCTCACCGCCAGGAGCAGCTGCAGCTCTACTGGGCCATGGACTCCACCTTCGAGCTGTGCAAGATCTGCGCCGAGCGGGACAAGGACGTGAAGATCGAGCCATGTGGACACCTGCTCTGCAGCCACTGCCTGGCTGCCTGGCAGGTGGGCCCCTGCCCTGCCTCCTTGCCCCAGGTCCCCCCTCCACAATAAAAGCTCCCCACAGGATCTCCCTTGGACCTCATGGGTCAGATGGAGAAACCTAGGTCTGGAGAGCAGACCCCTGCTGGGGATTAGCAGGCCCACTGTGTCTGTGCCTCCTTCTCCATCTCGCTCTGCCCACATAGCCCCTGTGGCCGTGTTCTCTGGCCATGTTAGCAGTGGGCACAGTGCCCTCCTTCCCTTGCTGGGTGACCTGGAGTTGGGAACTTTGCCTCTCTGAGCCGTGGCCTCTTCCTCTGGAGAACAGTGCTAATGGTGGGAGGCTCCAGGATGGGTGAGGGGCCATGTGGGCCCCTCCTGGTCCCCCTGCCTCCCCTCCAGCATTTCTGTGCCACAGCCCTCCCCATGTCACTGTGGTGGAGGTGACATCCTTGAGTCCAGGAACATGGTGGATGCAGGGAGATGCTGACCTCTTCCCTCTCCACCTGGCAGAACGAGGACAGCCAGATCTGCCCCTTCTGCCGCTGCGAGATCAAGGACCGGGAGGCCGTGAGCATCTATCAGCTCTCAGGGGACACAGCGGAGGGTGGGGCCACTGCTGTGGACACGGATGACAGCAGTGACCAAGAGAATGTGGAGCTGGAGCTGGAGCAGGTAGGAAGAGCTGATGGGGGGACCAGACCCCTGGGTCTGAGGGAGGCGGCTGGGCCTGGACCCCGGGTCTGAGGGAGGAGGACCAGAACAGGTATCTTATGATCCAGCGGCCTGGACATTTTCCTACCCAGGGGTCTGGAGTGGCTTCTCTGGCTGACACCATCCTGTGGCTGGGACTGTCTTCCTTGTCATGTCTGTACCTGGAAGGTTGCTGTGTTTCCTCCAGGCAGAAGCTGGAGTGGACAAGAAGAACGTGGCACTCACTGAGCCCCCATCTTTCTCTCTAGGTGGCCCCCTCTGCTCCCCCTCTGCCCCCTCGGCTAGATCTGCCCCCCAGGAGGCCCAGAAGCGAATGCCAGCTGGAGGCAGTGAGTCTGGCGTCACCTGAGGTGGGCAGCTGGGTGTCACACAGCTCCGGGCTCCCTGGTGTGGCCCCTAGGCTCAGGGGGCCCAGGGGGCCCTCATCCTCGGCCCCATGTCCAAGGCATGGTGTGGTCTGGCAGCCACCGCCATGGCTGTTTCTCGGTTTTCATCTTTACTCCTCTTCTCGTTTGTTTCCTTGCTCTCCTCCCAGCATCTCAGGCACATCCTACCCCAAGGCCTTTGCACCTGCTGCTCCCTCAGCCTGAGCCTCCTCTCCTCACTCCCTTTCCACCCTCCTCTCACGGATGCTTTCCCTGAGCACCTATTGAGAAGAGCAGCCATGTCCCTCAGCCCCTGCCCCACCGAGTACCCACAGTCCTTTCCCAAGGCCATGGAGCATATTTCTTTTTTGTTGTTGTGTTGTGTTTGAGATTGGCTGTCTCTATGTAGCCCAGGCTGGCCTTAAACTTGCAGTGATTGTCCTGCTTCAGCCTCCCAAGTGCTGAGATTACAGGTGTGCACCACCGCGCTCAGCATGTCCAGTATTTTCTGTCTCTAATGACCCCTCCCTGGGTCAGGACCTTGTCTCACTCTCTGTGCCACCTCCAGAGTCTAGAACAGTGCGTGGCACCTACCCGAGGCCGGGGCTCAGTAAATGGGCAGTGGATAAAGAGACACAGCTGAGTCTTCCCACAGCCCCTGGAAGTCAGTGATGTTCCTCTCCCCTTTGTCCAGGGGAAAAAGCTCCCAAAGCCACACAGCCTGAATGAGGACAAACCAGCATCAGGGCTTTTAAGGCACCCAAGGCATCTGTTGGGGTTTTGAGGGGGGTTTTTTGGAGGGGTTTTTTTGGTGGTGGGGGGGGGTTGCTTTGGTTTTTTGCAGGACTGAGGAATGGAACCACCCACCCCCTCCACACTGGGCGGGAAGTGCTCTGCTCCTGAGCTACAGTCCCAGCCTCCATTTGCAGTTTTCTTTGTTTGTCTGGAGTTTTGTTGTTGTTGTTCTTTTATTTTCTCAGTCCTGGGGGTTGAATCCAGGGTCTTCTCACTGAGCTACATTCCCAACCCTTTTTTCTTTTCTTATTTTTTGAGACAGGGTCTTGCTAAGTCTCTTAATTGTTCAGGTTGGGCTCAAACTTGGGATCCTCCTGCCTCAGGCTCTCACACTGTTGGTGTGGGGTGTGCACCACACCTTTCTGCTATTTGTTTTGGCCTTTTGGTTGCTATTGTTCTGAGACAGGACCTTCCTAAGTAGTTCAGGCTGACCTTGAATTCACTGTGTAGCCAGGCTGGCCTTGAACTCACAGCGATTCTCCTGCCTCAGCCTCCTGAGCGCTGGGATCACAGGTGCAGGCCGCCATGCCTGGCCATCTGCTTATTTTTCAAGTGCACTCTGGTCATGCTTTCTTCTCCATCCCCCTCATTTCCGTCCTTAGATTTTCTGAGCTCAAGGGGCAGATCTGTTAGGCTCTCCAGCCCAGTACACTGGCAGCTTTAATCAATACTGAGCAGACCTCAAACAAACAGCTCAGGAAGTCCGGAGCGTTATTGGACCACAGCAAACGAGAGCCAGCAGGAAGGGGGGTGCGGAGACCAGCGAGGGAAGCTAAAAACAGATCCCGCCAACCTGCAGCCAAAAGCAAATGGAAACATTAGGAGCACTCAGCTGACTCCCTGAGGACAATGAGGGGACACAGCCAGCAGCGGGCTGACGGGCACCTCCAGCCAGAGGGGGGCACCTCTGCCAGGGCCAGCCTGCACCCCGCACGCCCTCCTCTCCTTTCCCAGACCCCGCCAGCCTCAAGCGCCAGGCACCTCCTGCTCTCACTTCTTCAGAACCCACCGCAGCAGGGACAGCAGGCTCACTCTGCTACTTCTCAGCAGGGTGGCTGTTCCCAGAGAGCAGTTCATGTGTGTGTGACATTTGCTCCATGCCTCGCACTACTTTTTTCTTTTCTTTTTTTTCCCAGCATTGGGCATTGAATTGAGCACTGAACCTTTGCACTGAGCTCCATCCCCAGCCCCTTTACTTTTTTATTTTGAGACAAGACCTAGCTAAGTTACCCAGGCTGGGCTCGACCTTGCCATCCTCCTCCCTCAGCCTCCCGAAGTGCTGGAGTTACAGGCATGTATCGCTGTGCCCGGCTTGTTTTGCTTTTTTATTTTTTATTTTTTGGTACCGGGGATCGAACTCGGGACCTTGTGCATTCAAGGCAGGCAGCGGAACCACTGAGCTAAACCCCCGGCCCTGTGTTTCTTTAATTTGTATTTATTTTGTTTTGTTTCGGCTTTTTGTTTTATTTTTTTAGACACAGCCTCACTTTACTACCCGGCCTTGGCACTCCTTGTTAACTCCCATTGTCATGACAACCCCATTAGGTGGGTACCATTAGGGCTTCCATTCCACACAAAGCGACACTGAGGCCCAGGAGCTGGAGATCTTGCAGGAGTCAGGACCATGGCACCAGGGCTCAGCCTCCCTCCCGCTCCACTGCCTCGGTTCCGCTGTCTGGACAGTGGGCCAGTGGGCATGAGGCCTGTCCCTGCCCCCTGAGGCTGTCCAGTGCACCGGATGCGGCAGAGCTGTGTTCCTGGTCGGTGTCACTTTGGCTGTGACTGTCTCTAGGAATGCTCCCCGCATGCCACTGCTCTCCTGAGAAACCCACCTCCCTAGGAGACACTGCCACACGCTGGTCCCCAGGGACCTCTCTGACCCCCCCCTTGTCTCTGAGTGAAGAATGGCGACAGGTGTGACACAAGCCCCACCACACGCCCTGACGAAGCCTGGGAGATCGGGCTGCTGAGACCTGAGTCACATCCCTTCCCCATCCCTTTCCTTCTCGGAAGCCCCCACTGCTTCCTCAGTACCAAGAATCCAAGCCAAAGCCCTCGGCACCGCCCCCAGTGCCTGGGGACCTGGCCCCATCCACCCCCAGCTCCTGAGTCTGCCGCCCTGGACTTTCCAAGGAGCCCGAGAGCCCTGCCTACTTCCCAGCCTTGGCCTCAGCCCGTCGTCCCTGCCTCTCAGAGGCAGCCCCTGTCCCCACGTGCTCAGAAGAACCAGGACACCCTGAAACCTGAGCTTGGGCGTTAGCTGATGACTTAGCACAAGCCTGGCTCGGCAGATCCTCAGCTCCATGAGCAAGGGGAGATTTTTCTGCTTTACTCATGGCTGTGTCCTCAGAGCCCAGAACAGTGAGAGCCTGATGCACTGGATGCTCAGGGGATGATTGTGGGATGGGTGGGTGGGTGGGTGGGTGGGCGGAGGATAGATTGATAGATGGACGGATGGGTAGATGGGTTGATAGATGAATGGGTAGTACACTGACAGATGGACAAACAGAACTTCATCCTACTCAAGGGAAAGGAGCAAGGGGAAACCAGCTTGGATTGGGGACAAGACCCTGCATCACTCCTGCCTGGGCCTATGAAGCCTCACCCAAGACAGCTCACCTGGGACATTTCTGAATCTCCTCTCCTCCAGGCACCTCTGGCCCTCCCCCGACTCCGGGGCCCCTTTCCCTTGCCGAGAATCAGGACTGTGGCCTCAGCCATGTGGAATGCCACCTCCAGGGCCCAGGCCACAGAAGGGGCCACAGAGTAAGTGGAGTGACAGTGAGGGCATCCTGGGTCTAAGGAAAAGGGGTGGAAGGGAAATACCGGGTCCCAGGAAATTGACCAGCCCCAACTCCTCCATTGTAGAAACTCCTAAAAGGAAGCGCATCCCTCCAGCTGCCCCTGTGGGGCCCCATGATGGCTCCCCCAGGCCTTGAAGCCATGTGACTCCACACCACCCAACTTGCATCTCTCCAGCTCCCTCCCTGCTGAGCTCCATCCCCTCCCTAACACACTTCTCTCCTGCATTGCAGGTTGCCCGGATGTGCTGCTACAGGGGCCCTCAGGGGCTGGAGGGGGTTTGTGAAGCAGAAATAAAATGCCAAGCCTGATCAGACCTCTAGTGTGTGAAGGAAGAGGGCAGCAGCCACCAGGGGGCAGCTTGGCACTGAGAAAGGGTGGTCCCCAAGCCTGGTGACCACATGATCACCGCAGTAGACTCAACCCCACACCCCCTCTGCCCACAGCCCCCCACATGGAGCAGGGGCACCCAGGCTTCTCCTTCAGTCCCAGGACTCCTGGGTCCCAAGTTCTCAGCGAATCTGGCAACCAGCCCCACCCCATCATGCAGACATTCCTGAGCCCAGAAGCCCAAGTTTGACCTGGTCCAGGGGACCCCACACTTCCTTGCAAGGGAGGCTCCTATCTAACCACAGTCTTCCCCCCCCATCCCTCTCTTATTCCTCCCTTCTTGGTCCTTCTCCCGGGAGCAGCAGTAATGGCAGCCTAACTCATGCTAGGAACTGGCTTTCCACCTGGGGACCATCCTGAGGGCCCCAGGTTCCCTCTGCTTCCCATTAGAGCACCCCAGACCCTGAACCCCTGCCTGTGCCCAGCCCTGGGCTCTGAAATGCTGGTGATACAGGGGGAGACAAGACCTGAGAGGGCCCGGGGTGGGCAGACTGGGGTGGGGGAGCCCCAGGTTTGCAGGGGCGCAGGGGGTGTGTGTGACCCGGCCTGGGAAGTCAAGGAGAGCTGAGAGGCGGGAACATCTGAGCTGAGATGGAAAAGATGAGAGGAGGAATCCACAGGGAGGAAGCTCGAAAGTTTGTGTCAGGGATTTCTTCCCGAGCCACAGAAGCCGCCTTGGAGACAGAAAGGCACTTTACTGAGAGGGTTTGGGTCACTCGCAGAACCGGGATTGCAACCTGAGTGGGAGTGGCTGTTGGCCATCAGCAGTCACCAGCCACAGTCGCTCCAAAGAGCCATTCTGATGAGGTCACCCTGGTCCCCTGGTGAACGCTGGCCCCAAGCTTACGTCACTGCCTCGTTGTCCCGGAAGCAGGGTCCAGTTGCTTTTCTCGTCAGCTGGTGCTCATAACACATTGCTCCGAGATTTAGCAGCGGAGGACAGAGCTGGCTGCTTCACTGCTCGTGGTCGCTGGGGGCCAGGATTTGGGGCGACCTGAGATGAGTGGCTCTGGCGGAGGTGCAATCAGAATGTATAAACTAGTGGCACTCGGAGCAGGGATGCTGGGGGCCGGATGGCCTCTGGACTGCTGGGCCTGCACTCGGGGATCCAATCTACTGTGAATCGATGTTTGTTTCTTTGTTGAAACAGGGTCTTTCTATGTAGTTCAGGCTGTCCTTGAATTTGAGGCAATCCTCCTGCCTCAGCCTCTTGAGTGCTGGGATTATAGGCGTGTACCACCATGCCCAGCCAATTATACTTTTTAAAAACTTACATGTGTACCATGTAGGCTTTTTTTCATGACATAATTCCCTAAACAATACCATGCAATGACCCTTTACCTAGCATTCGCATTGTATTAGGCATTGTAAGTCTTAGGAGATGATTTAAAATTTACAGGACGATCAGGTACAGTGGTATACATCCATAATCCCAGCTACTCGGGAGGCTGAGGCAGGAGGATTTAGATGTACTACCCAGTACTACCAAAACAAAAAATATATATATACATGTGTGTGTATATATATGGGTGCACATAAGCTCTGTGTCAACACAACATTGTTTTATTTAATCATCTTGAACATCTGTGAACTTTGGTGTCCCTAGGGGTTCTGAAACCAATTCCTGCAGATGCCAAGTGATAGCTCATTTCAGTGACTCCCGAAGAAGCTGTGTGGCTTTTACTCCCTCATCTTGGGGGTCATGTGGTGCTGTCACTTCTGCATTGTGAAGTTACATGCAAGCCACACAACTATGCAGTATGGTGAGACACATGTCAGGCTCTGATTGTGGACAGGCACATGGAACCAGCCACCTTTGGAAAGCAGGATCTGCCCCAGCTGCAGACCTGGAAGAGCTTTGCCAAGTCCTGCTTCTCCTGTAGTATTAGCTCCTGGTCCAAGAGCGGGGAAGGATTTGCCAAGCTGAGTCACCTTGGCTCCCACAGAGGCAGGGAAGCAAACATCTGCCTTTGGCTTCTGCAGAGGACGCCAGGCTTTCAGACAGTAAAGATGGCTCCATGAGTGGGGAGAGTGCAGGCGTTAGGCAACTCGGCCTTACAATATCCAGTACAGTCCACGCCTTACAACATCCAGTACAGGCCACCCCTTTCCACACTCTGTGCAATCGCCCTTTGCTCTATGCTAACGCTCTCTCCCCCAAGCAGTTCTCCCAGACTCTCTCAGCACTCCTGACTCTTGATGTTCAACCAAAAGTGCACAGCACACAAAATGTCAATGCTTCCACTTTCCACACCATGCCTGAAATCATGGGTAATTCTCCATTCTCCTCTGAACCTGTCATGATCCTGTATTCCACAAGCTGTGAAGTAGTTTGTTTTGGTTTTTGTTCTTTTTGCTGCACTGGGGATCAAACCCAGGGACTCGTGCATGCTAGGCAAACTGCTCTACCACCGAGCTACAGCCCCAGCCTTTTTTGTTTTTATTTTGAGAAAACATCTCACTAAGTTGCATCTGGAGGCCTTGACTTGCAATTCTCCTCCCTCAACTTCCCAAGTAGCTGGGTTGTAGACTCATTTTAAAGCTAACTGTCAGGCACTGCATGAAAAATAATGGGAGGAAGGTAGAGAAAAGGTAAGCCTTATTCATTAAAAGGCAGTCAGGCCTGGGGATTTAGCTCAGTGATTCCACTGCTTGCCTCACAAGTGCAAGGACCTGAGTTCAATCCCCAGCACCAATAAATATATAAATAAATAAATTTTGCTGGGATTTACCTCAGTGGTGCCACCGCCTGCCACACAAGGACAAGGTCCCGAGTTCGATCCCCGGTACCAAAAATAAATAAATAAATAAATAAAAGGCAGTCAGTCCCCCATATCTGTGAGTTGTGCAAATGAGGGTTCAGCCAACCTCAGGTCAAAGATACTCAGAAAAAATAATTGCATCTGAACTGAACGACAGATGTTGTTTCCGTTGTCATTATTCCCTGAACAATACAGTGTAAAGACTATTTCCACAATGTTTCCAGGGGATTAGTCATTATCATCATCTAGAGATGATTTAAAGTTTATGAGACGGGTGGGGCGTATGTCCCTGATAGGAAGTATGTTTAGTTTAGCGCGCTGGAGGGTCTGGATCAAACCCCCAGCACCTCTCAAGAATAATAATACAGGGGCTGGGGATTTAGCTCAGTGGTTCTACCGCCTGCCTTGAAAGGACCTAAATTCAATCCCCGGTACCAAAAAAAAAAAAAAGAAAAGGAAAGAAAGCATACAGGAGGATTGCACGGATTATACTCACTACTGAGCTTTTTTTTTTTTTTTTGGTACCTGGGATCGAACTCACGACCTTGAGCTTATGAGGCAGGCGTGGTGCCACTGAGCTAAATCCCTGGCCCTATACTGAGCTATTTTATGTAAGGGACCATGCATCCTTTGGGGATGCTAAGGGACATAGTTCTGCTTCAGCAGACTCTAAACTTCAGGGACCCGTGTGATCATATCACCTGAGGACATCGTGCTGATCTTAGTTTGTGTAAGTGTCCCCTTGCTACTCACACAATGACAACACCACCTAACACCTTTCACAAGAAGTCCCTATTGTTAATTGACACATGCCTGTAGGTCTATCACACGAGAGGGCAAGGATGGAATTGGAAAATTATTTAATCCGGTCCATAAATATTTTCTCTTCTCATTCCAAGCACTGTCCTAGGCACTGGAGATCCAGTAGTGAACCAGAAATTTCCTGTTCTCTTCAAGCTTAGATTCTATGCAAGACAAGTAATTTTAAAAATAAACAAAGTCACTTTGGTGCTATAATCCCAGCACTTGGGAAGCTGAGGCAGGAGGAACAAGAGTTTGAGGGCATCCTGGACTATACAGTGAGATCGTGTCTCAAAACAGAAAAATAATAATAATAAAAAATAAGTAAAATAAAAAAATAATTTCTGGGGATTTAGCTCAGTGGCACTGCGCCTGCCTTGCAAGCGCAAGGTCCTGAGTTCAATTTCCAGTACTGGAAAAAAAATATTCAAAATTAAAAAAAATTGATTTGACAGCAATAAATGCTATGGAGGAAAACTATAGTAAGGGAAGGGAAGTAGGAGCTGCTGGGACAGCACAGTTGCTATGGAGATAGGATGGCCAGGAAAGCCATTTAATGAGGTGAGGAGGAGATGAGAGATTAGAAGCAGGTGAGAGAGGAAGCTCTACAGAGAATGTCCCTGCAGAAGGAAGAGCAAATGCAAAGGTCCTGAGGCTGGAACCTGCTTGGTGTGCTAGCAGAACCGCAGGGGAGCAGAGACCAGTGTGACAAGACCGAAGCTGGCAAGGAAAAGTGGGGTAAATAACGAGGGCCAGCACCAGGACCTCGTGAGCCACGGAGAGAACATCAGCTTTTACTCTGAATGAGTGAAGAACCATGGAAGGACTCGGAGCAGAACCGTGGTGTAAGCTAACTCATTTTAACAGGATCCCTCTAGCTGTTTTATGAAACTAAATTGTAGGGGACCAGGGAGGGCAGGTCCCCTATTACTGCTGTAATACGAGTTTCTGCAAGTCTATGCGAGCCAGGCCGGGACTTATGGCTCCCCTCTTTCCTGTACATCCCCCTGGGCCTCCTCCTCAGGCAGCACCTTGGCTGGGTGGACAGGGACAGCAGATATGAGTGCACACCACCCCGTCCAGCATAAGGAAGCAGGAGCACAGGCTGGGGACAGAGCAGTCAGGGTGAACTTGTCCCCAGGGCTTGCACTGTGTCCTGCAGTGACCCCCACCCTGTGGAATTTGCATGGGACCCTGTGTGCCTGTGTTTGCCCTTGCAAGGCCTCACTGAGCACCTGCTCTGGGTCTGGGTGGCTCCCAGGACACAACAATGACTAAGCAGCCTTGACCCTTGCAGGGGCTCACAGTGTGTGTGTGCGCAGGACAGGCCCATCCTCCATCCTCAGGCAGGGACTGCCCAAGGGGTGCAGAGCTGAGGTGGGGGCAGGAGGCTGGGGAGGGCGGGAGGAACCCAAAGGAGGCCTTCCTGGAGGAGAGGGCACTGCCCCATACGAAAAGGTCACCTTCTGAGCTTAACAATTGTGCTCCTGTATGACCAATGGGTAAGTAACTGGGCCAGTCTGGCCAACAGCCGCACAAACCTGTAATCTAAGCCTTCCCTTTGGGCCTACTGGCAAAGCTGGGCTCCAGGGGATCCCAGTCTTACCAGAGACCCACAAGCTGACTGCAGACCTGAGGAATCTCTCCCAGCAGGACCAGCGACCCCCCCATCTGACCAGTGTCATGGGCTGGCTTCTCCCAGCTAATCCGTGCTACCCCCCTCCCTCCAAGCCCCAGCCAGCACTCCGGGGATTTGGTCCCAGTCCGACCTGGCTTGTGAGGAGACTGGAGCAGCCTGATCGGTGACCCCTTCAAAGTGACCTGTGACCCTTCCTTTCAACCAGTGGCTGGCTCCTCCCCTCCCTCTCCACTCACCTGCCCTGCCAGCCCCCTCCTCCTCCCCTCCCCCAAAGGTGGGGTGGGAATGAAGGGGAGAGGAGGAAGGAGGAAGGGGGGTGACATTCCTGGGATTCCCTGGATGGGGGAAGAGAAGGCGGGTCTCGGGGGAGCGCGGGCAAGGGCACCCCGCGCCGCACCCCCCCTGGCGGAACTGGCGGGCGGATTGAAAGCCATCAGAGATAAGAGATGAGCGGGTCCCTAGGAGGCCACCGAGGGCCCGCGCGCGCACAGCCAGCGCAGGGAGGCATCCCCGGCAGCCCGGGGGAGCTGTCCCGGGCCACTGGTCACCCGGGGCGAGGCCGGCGCAGGCCCGCTGGTCACCACCCGGATGAGAGCCCCGGCTACCTGCCACAGCGGGAAGGAGCCTGCGAGGCCCCAGGCCGGAGCGACAGGGACCCGGGCTGGACTGCAGGGGTGACCCGGGCTGGACTGCAGGGGTGCCCAGCGCGGGTGCCGCTCCCGAGACGGCAGGGGCTGGCGGGCACCGAGTGGGTCTGCGCGCGACGGTGGGAGGTGCGCGCCGGGCAGTGGGAGGTCCTGGCCCCGCGCCCGGGCTGGGGGTGGGGGGTGAGGGGCCAGGGGCGGGGCCTCGCTGCTCGGCGCAGCACAGCCTCGCCCGGCTCAGTCGCCGCCGCCGCAGCCAACGCCGCCGCCACCTCGTGAACATGGAGACCCCGGGAGTCCGCGCCGGGGCACGCAGGACTCCGCGGCTGCTGTGCCTCGCGCTTCTGCTGGCGGCGCACCCAGGTAGGGCCCGGGCCGAGGGGGGCGGGACGCGGGCGGCTCCAGGGAGCCCGGAGGGCAGGGGCAGAAGGGGCTCCCACCCTCCCCAGGAGGCCAAGGCGGGGACTCCAGCTAGGGAGGACAGAGAGCTGGGGACACCACGGCGTGGATCAGACAGGACCCGATCCACTTGCCCTTTCCCACGCAGGACGCTGGAATCTGGGCCCAGCGCCCTCTGCCTGCTCAGACCCAAGAGTCCAGGTCCCCAAGTGGCTTCCCTAGGACATAGAAGACCCAAGCCCCTGGGCTGTCCCCTCCAAGGTTCTCAAGTTTGAGGGAGCTTGGCTGCCTTCAGCAAAGCTACGCCGCAGCCAAGCAAGTGGTTCCTACAATATGAGAGTTTCCCCAGCCAGCATTCAGAGTCCAGACTCCATGGAGAACCCGCCTCCCTCGGAAAGGGCCGAGTCCCAGCCCTGGCAGTGAGGGTGGATGGAGCAAAGTGTTTCCGAGTGACAGTGCCCCCTGCCTGGGGCCCCCCATCAGTGCACACACCTGCAGGCGGTGGGAGGGACAGGGGCAGGGACATGAAAGGGGCCGAGGAAGAAGAGGGCATCTGGCCTTCCTCACTGCCTGCGCCTCAGACCCAGGCGGGCACCAGCCCGCCGCTCCCCTGGATGCTTGGGAATCCAGGCCCCTGGCACAGCATGGTAAATAATGGGTCCCCTGGGGTAGGCCTGGGCCGGGCCAGGCAGGGCCGGGTGGGGCGGGGAAGGGAAGGGAGGCTCTCTAAGAGCTGAGCGTGGTGCCCAGGGGGTAGAGTGCGTGCTTCTCTGGCACTGTCTGCCAAGAGTCAGGACCCAGCCTCTCAGGCCACAGGAGTCTGGGCCCCCAGCCCCTCCTCCCCCATGACCCCAATCCTAGCCTCAGCTCTGTCCCGAGCCAGAGCCAGGGTGACACACCTTACCTCCTAGCTCTATGAGAGACAGGAGACAGGGGGCACCTGGGGGTCTCTGACGCCAACCTGGGCAGGTCTCAGCCAGCCTTTCCCTCCCACATTCCTGAAACCTGCCCAGCCCTGTCCCCCCTCACCGCCCCACACACCTATCCCGCCTGGGCCCTCAGCTCCTGGCCCAGCCACAGCCCACATCCCAGGCCCCCATGCATGAGAGAGCAGCGCCTGGTGCCAGGAGAGATGGGGGGGCGGTTCAGGGAAGGGTGCGGGAGGCGGGGCAGGCACTGAAACCTGGGTGGAACCAGGAAGGAGGGAGCCCGCCCTGCCCAGACAAGGTGTTTGCTCTGGTGGGAGAACCGGGCCACAAACAGCAGCCCTACCCCCAGGACACTGAGCAAAGGCCACCAGGGTGCTGCAGAGCCCAGGGGGAGCATGGCTCTGCAAGGGAGAGTTGGGAGGAAGGCTGGTGGGGTCCGAGGCGCAGAGATGAGAGATGGAGAGAGAAAGGAGCTGAGTCCGAAGGAGGAGGGCTGGAGCTGGAGGACAGTCCGGTCGGTGGCAGTGGGAGGGAGCTCAGGTGCTGTCCCCAGCTGTCCAGGCCGAGATGCACGTGTCCGTGCCCCCTCTGGTGGAGGTGATGCGGGGAGAGCGGGTCAGCCTGAACTGCACCCCCTCAAAGAAGCCTGACCACTTCGTGCTGGAATGGTTCCTGGTGAGTGCCCGGGACAGCGCAGGGCTGGGAGGTGCAGGTGCTGTCTGTCGCCCACATCGTGGCCTCCTCAGGGCTGGGAAGAGTAGGAGATCGTCCCGCTGCATCTTGCTTTACAGATGGGGAGCTCAAAGCCCAGCAGGTGTCAGGCGGGCTGAGCAGGATTGAAATCCTCCTTCAGAATTTGGTTCTTAGGAGAGGGCCCCCTCGGGAGCCACGGGGGAGGAGGGCAAGAGGCAGACAGAGGAGGAGACACAGGGACAGAGTGAGCTGCAGAGAGGGACGTGGAGAAAAAAATCAAGAACAGGACAGGAACAGAGGGGTGAGAGCAATAACAGGAGGAAGAAGCAGACCCAGGGGACACCAGGAAGAAAAGGCCCAAGGGAGAGACCCCGGCTGGGTGTCGGGGAATGGAGCTGAGACCCGGCCCTCGCCTGCTGTGTCCAGATCGAGCGCTCCGGGGCCCGCCGCCGCCTGGCCTCGGCCGAGCAGCAGGGCTCCGAGCTGCAGCTGCAGCGGACCGTGCACGACCCCCGGGGCCGCAGACCCCCATACCAGCTGGACCCCCAGGGGAGCCTGGTGCTGGCCGAGGCCCAGGTGGGTGATGAGCGGGACTACGTGTGCGTGGTGACGGCTGGGGCTGCGGGCACCGCTGAGGCCACCTCAAGGCTCCGGGTGTTTGGTGAGTGTCCCAGGGACCCCTGAAAGGGGCAGGGCAGGTGAGGTGAAGAAGGGGCTCCTGACATGAACATCGTCCCCATAGCCCAGCCAGAGGCCGCCGAGGTGCTCCCCAACACAGGGACGCTGTCCGTGATGGACAGTGCCCCGCAGGTACCTGGGGGCCAGGCCCGGATTCCGGGGCCCGGAGGTGGGCTGGGGCGGAGGCTTGTGGCCCTCTTCGTCTGAAGAGTGGGGCCCGGGGGCCCGATGTCTGCTCGGGGGAGAGGCTGGTCTGCCTTGCGGGAAGAGGGGCCCCGGGCTTCAGAGTCCTGGCTCCCAGCCCACGGCCCGCCCGTGTGCCTCAGATTGCCACCTGCAGCAGTAGGAACGGGAACCCAGCCCCACAGATCAGCTGGTACCGGAACGGGCGGCTCCTGGAGCTGCCCACGGAGATGAATGAAGGTGAGCTCTGAAGCCAGCAACACCTGGACCAGGGTGGGTGGCACTGGGGCCCCGCTGACACCTCTGCCTCTCTCCAAGAGGGATATGTGACCATCCGCACGGTCCGGGAGGCCTCGGGCCTGCTGTCCCTCTCCAGCACCCTCTACCTGCGCGTCCGCAAGGCCGACCGCACCTCCAGCTTCCACTGTGTCGCTCAGTACAGCCTGCCCGGGGACCGGCACGGCCGCCTGGACAGCCCTGCCTTCAACCTCACCCTGCACTGTGAGTCCCAGGGATGCCACCCCTGGCCACACTGAGGCCCGACACCCCCAAGGCAACATGGCCTCACATTCCCTGTCAGGGCTGACTGTATGCTGCTGCTGGCTGCTGACCTGTGACCTCACGAGGTAGTGCAAGCCCCATCCCGACTCTGAGCCCTGCGTAGCTCCCAAGGGGCTCCACCCTTTCCTACTGAATCGAGCCCCGTAGGACATCTGGCTCCAGGTCTCACACTGATGCTCACTGACCTCTGACTCTTGACCTGTACCCTCCACTCACGTCCACCTCTGACCTCCAGTGCCCACTCTCAGAATAGGTGTGACCTTGAGCCTTCAAACATGACCTCTAACCTTTGACCACCCACAGCCTTCCCAAGCGGTACAAGGCTGACCTCTCTCTCTTAGTCCCTCCCCGGCCCCTCCCCAATTGTGACCCCCATCTTTCCTGTCCTTCCCGCAGATCCCACGGAACACGTGCACCTCTGGGTGGGCAGCCCATCCACCACGGAGGGCTGGGTGCGTGAGGGCGACTCTGTTCAGCTGCTCTGTGAGGGGGACGGCAGCCCCAATCCGGAGTACACGTTTTTCCGTCTTCAGGTGACACAGCCTGGCCCCTCTGGAGCCCTCAGCTCTGCACCAATTGCTAATTTTTTGGCGGTGCTAAGGATAGAACCCAGCCCCCAAGTGTGCCCGGCACATGCTCCACCGGGCGCCATCCCCAGCCCGGGGGTTTGGGTGTCTCTTGGCCTGGCTGGTGACCCGTGAACAAAAGGACCTCTGACCTGGCTTTAGAGTCCTGATTGAGCTCAGTGCCCGACTGGGGTGACCCTGAGCCCTGACTTGAGTGGGCTGTGGCCTAACTCAGTGTCCCCTGAGGGAGCGAAACCCCCGGGGCCAGGGTGGCACCTGAGCCTGGCCTATCACCTCGGGTCACAGGACAAGCAGGAGGAAGTGCTGAGCACAAACTTGGAAGGGAAGCTGACGCTGGAGGGCGTGAACCGGAGCCAGAGCGGGATCTACGGCTGCCGAGTGGAAGACTTTGATGCTGCCGAGGATGTGGTGCTCACTCGGACGCTGGGGGTGAACGTGTCCTGTGAGCACGGCCCGGCCTCCGCACCCCGAGTACCCATCTATCCCACCCTGCAGCTGCCCGGCATCCTGGATATACCACGTCCAGCGCCTGCTTTTCTGTGTGTCTGCCCTTTCCCCTCTCCCCTGCTCCCTGCCCTACCTCCTCTGACCCAGCAAGATCATAAGAGAGCTTTCCTGAGCCTCCCTCCCTAGAACCTGCCATGGATCCCCAGTGCCCTCAGGAGAAAGCCCAGGTCCTCCCCCCAGCCCCCATGGCACACCTGGCCAGCATGGCCATCAGTGGACCCTTCCTTCCTTCCCCCAGTCAAGACTGTCTCCTCGACACCTCACTTCCTCTTTTCACTCCTACCTCAACTCTTTTACTACCGTCTGTTCCTGGATCCTGGATTTCTTCTCCCTCTCTCCCCCTGCCCCTCCCTCCCTCTCTCTCTCTCTCTTTGCTTTTGGGCAGTACTGGAATGGAACCCAGGGCCTTATACATGTTAGGCAAGTGCTCTGCCACTGAGCCACACCCCCAGCCCTTTTTATTTATTTTTATTTTTGTAAAGTTTGAGACAAGGTCTTGATAAATTCCCCAGGCAGGCATTGAACTTGGGTGATTCTCCTGCCTCAGCCTCCCAAGTATCAGGTATTATAGGGGTGCACGACGGCACCTGGCTAGTGGATCCTCGCTTTCTAAGCAGGCTTCCAGTTGGATTTGCAAGGTAAAGGCTTCGCTCCTCCTCCTCCTCCTCCTCAGCCCTCCATAGGGGTAGACCCTGTGGCAGGAATTGGGGACACACCCATGCACACAGACCTTTCCCTCCCCCTTGTGGGGGAACCAGATGGTAATGGCTAAGCAAGATGGACACAGAGCCAGAGGGACAAGGGATGGCTGCGAGCAGCTGGCAGCCCAGGATCAGGCTGCCGTGGAGGCCTTCGGGTAGAAAGTTTACAGGGAGCCCCCTGGGGCCGCATCCCCTGGGCCCGGGGAGGTGACAGAGCAAGGTTGGGCAGGGGAGGAAGCTCCACTGCAGCCTACAGAAGGCTTGGCTGGCCCCACAGGTGCTGGATGCTGGAACAGCCCTCAGTTGTGCCCACTTGGGGTGAGAGGGCTAAGCCTACCCCCCGCGCCAGTCTGTGCCACCCCAGGAAGGGGCACGACCAAGGGTGAGGGGTTGTGCAGCTGAGGCACTTCCCAGAGAGGGACAACAGCTGAGGGCTGGCAGCTGCCACCCCTCTCTCAACAGCTGGGGCAATCAGTCCTGCAGAGGGGGCAGGGAGCTCCGTCCACCGAAGGGGTCCGGGAGGCCACTGCCAGAGGGACAGGCGGATGGGAAGCTCAAGAATGCAATGGGAAGGCAGAGAGCTAGAAGCTGCAGGCAAATGAGCAGGTGCAGAGGCCCTGGGGCAGCACAGCTCACTTGGGAGAAAGGAGCAAGCAGGCTCTCCGGGACTCAGCCAAGAGGGGAGGCAGGAGATGTGCAAGAGGTGGGCCAGTGCCAGGCCAGGCAGGGGCTGACAGGCTGCTAAAGGAATGTGACCCTGGCGTCCAAGGAAGTTGGGAGCCACTGCAGTTTTTAAGCAGAGAGAAGGGCTGCTCCCTGGAGGATGGACTGAGGAGATGAGCGAGGGTGGACAAGCAAGGTGCTGGTCAGGACTGTTGGATCCAGGGTTCAGGAATAGCGGGGAGTGGAGGAGCCATCTTTTTTTTTTTTTTTTGGTACCGGCGATCGAACTCGGGTCCTTACGCTTGCGAGGCAGGCGGCGGAACCACTGAGCTAAATCCCCGGCCCAATCTTTTTGTTTTTGAGGGTCCTGCTGTGTAGTTCAGGCTGGCCTCGAACTCACAGCGATCCTCCTGCCTCAGCCTCCCTAGTGCTGGGATTACAGGTGTCCACCACCAGGCTTAGCCAGAAAAGCCATCATGAGGGCACAGCGATAAAGTCTTAAATAGCCAGAGCCTGGCATGGTGGTACATGCCTGCAATCCTAGCACTCGGAGGCTGAGTGAGGCAAGAGAATTGCCATGAGTTCAAGACCATCCAGGGCTATATAGTGAGACCCTGTCTCAAAAACAAACCAAAAAAAAAAGAAAAGGCAGAAATAGGCAGATGCTCTGGCACATGCTTGCAATCCCTGCTACTCAGGAGGCTGAAACAGGAGAATTGCAAGTGCCAGCCCAGTCCAGGGCAATTTAGATAGACTCCTGTCTCAAAAATAAAAAAGGGTTGGTGCTGTAGCTCGGTGGTGGAGCACCTGTGGGTTAGATGCCCGAGGCAGGGAAAAAAAAAAAAAGGAAAGAAAGCAAAGAGAAATAATGGGTGCAGCGTGATAGGGAGAAGGCAAGGGTTTGGGCAGAAGCCCAGGGTCTGTCTGGGTGGAGGCTGGGGTGACTCAGTGGCAAAGCGCTTGTGGCAGGTGCAAGGCCCTGCATTCCATCCCCAGCACCGAAAGAAGAAAAACATGGGTTTGGATGGTAAATCACAGGAAGACTCCCCGCCCAGGTTACCCATTAACCTGGGCTCCTGTGAGGGAAGTGGCCGCAGGGTGTGTATCTTGGCATCAGACACCTGGATTTGGGCTCGAGGTCCCAGATGGGAGAGTGGAAGCCTAGATCTGGACCGTTGTTCCTTGATGTTTGCCAGCCCTGGAGAGCCGCCAGGGCGCGGCGCCCCAGGGCGTGGGGCTGGGGACACTGACGCTGACGCCCTGTCCCCTCCTGCAGACCTGGACCCCCTGGAGCTCAGTGCGGGAAAGGAGCTCTCCGTGTTTCTAAACAGCAGCCGCATGGCGGTGACCTGCTCTGCCAGGGCCCAGCCTGCACCCACCCTGCGCTGGACCAAGGTGGGAGGGAGAGGAGCCCCGCTGATCCCCGCCTGCTCCCCTCACCCACCCACAAGGCTCACACCCTGCCCTGCTTCTCCCGGTCCCCTCCAGGACTCCGTCCCTCTGGAGAATGGACCCACGCTGTCGCTCGGCCCCTTCACCTTCGATTCCGCTGGCACCTATGTGTGTGAGGCCTCCATGCCCAGTGTCCCCCTCGTCAGCCGCACCCAGAGCTTCAGGCTGCTGGTCCAAGGTTCGGGGTGCAGGACGGCTTGGGTGGGGATGGTGGCAACTTGGGAACCGAAAAGGGCAGGCCCTCTGCGCTGCCCTTTTCCTCTCCTTGCCTCCGCTCTCCCTCTCCCGCCTGTCCCTTCCTCCGAGTGGCTCCTGCTCACTTTGTCCTGGTCCGCATCGCCCACAGGGTCTCCAGAGTTAAGGGCAAAGGAGCTGGAGCCCAAGGCTGAGGGCAGCTGGACGGAAGGGGACGATGTCGAGCTCATCTGCTCCGCCCGCGGCTACCCGGAGCCCGAGCTCACCTGGAGCCAGCCGGGTGGCAGTGTAAGGGACCCTCCTCTCCAGCCCCCTGCTCCCTGTGGGGGGGACCCTGCCCCACGCTTGCCCAGGGACCAGCCATCCCCACCTCTGCCCGCACCCCCTGCCCTTGGTCCCCAGCACGGGCCTAACCGGAGCCTCCACAGCCAGCAGAGCGGGCCCAAGGCGGACAGGGCTGGGTGAGCAGCTCGCTGACCCTGCGAGTGACCAGCACCCTGGGCCGTGAGGGAGTCTCCTGCGAGGCCTCCAACTCCCACGGGCGACTCAGCCACGTCTTCCACTTCGGCATGGGTGAGGGATGCGGAGGCACTGAGGGAGGTGCCGGGCGCAGGGCTGGCTGAGCCCCACTGCACGCTGAGCCCTCCTGTGTCCCTGCAGTGGCCCCCCAGGCTGCCCAGGCTGGAGTGGCCGTCATGGCCGTGGCCGTCAGTGTGGGCCTCCTGCTGCTCGTGGTCGCCGCCTTCTACTGCATGCGACGCAAGGGACGCCCAGGCTGCTGCCGCCGCAGAGAAAAGGGGACCCCGTGAGTGGCCCAGCCCCAGCACCAACCTCATTCCCGCCCCCCTGGGCCACCTCCTGGGCCCCCCCGCCCTGACCCTAGCCCCAGCCCGCCACCCCTGTCTGTACCATACGAATCCTCATCCCCATCGCCGGGTCTCCAATCCCAGCCTGCCACAGCCCCATCCCGCCCAGGTCATGACACACACACACACACACACACACACACACACACACACCCCCATCTCGTGTCACCCTTGGCTTCCCTCACTGGTATCCCCAAGGCCAGCCCCAGCCCCATCGCCCTCTCCCATCCCCGCAGCATCTTCCACCCTCTCCCGACTCCTGAGCACCCCCACCGTGCCCCTATACTAATGCCAGCCGGGCTCCCTCCCCGGCCACGACTATGCCCAGCTGCCACCCTCTCCCCGCAGGCCACCTGGGGAGCCAGAGCTGAGCCACCCTGGGTCGGAGCGACCAGAACAGACGGGCCTTCTGGTGGGAGGGGCCGGGGGAGGAGCCCAGGGCGGCAGTGGGGCTTTCAGAGATGAGGTGAGTCGGGGGCCAGGAGCCCGCTGGGCACAGGGACAGCCTCCTGGGCACAGGCTGAGTCACCTGTTTTCTCTGCAGTGCTGAGCCCGAGACCTGGAGGCTCCGGGCACCGACCCTGAGCTGTGGGCACCTGAGAAGCAGCCCTGTGCCCCCTGCCCCTCCTTCTCCAGCCCGGCTGGCCATGTCCCTCCCTTCCTTCCTCTGCCTGTTGGCCAGGGACCCACTGCCCGGCCTGGCCTCCGGGAGGGGTGGTGGGAGGTGGGTGGCCGGGAGGCTGCCTTCCTCAGGGAGTGTCACTCTCCCAGGCCCCAGAATAGCTGCTGGACCCGAGCCCAGGGCCGGCCTGGGACGAGGCTGGAGGGTCGCTGGCCGTGGCTATTTTTACCTCCTCCCCCGAGCGGGTCCCCCCACCTGAGTCCTGCTACACAGTCTGACACTGGATCCCCTCCGCCCTCGCCCCCGGCCCTCGTCTGTGGACACTGGAGTCTGGAATAAATGCTCTCTGTCACATCCACACCGTCCAGAGCTCCCATGGGGGCAGAGGGTCGAGGAGGGACGCAGGTGGCTGTCCCCTTTCAGTGCCTCTCCCTGCCACTGCCCTGCAGGGCCTCGGGAAAAGCCTGACGTCATGGAGAAAATAGCAGGGAGAGAGCAAGGGTGTAGAGGCCGACTCGGCTGCCCAGGGTGGCAGGGAGAGATGCCTGGCTGGGGCACCAGGCCTGGCCCCTGAGGGCCAGCGCCAGGGCCTGCGTGGGTTGAGTGCTGTCCACTTAAGGAAAAATTCCTCCTCTCTGGAGCCCCAAGGGAGCTGAGCTGGAGGGGAAGAACTGTCTGTCTGTCTGTCTGTCTGTCCGTCTCTGCTGTAGACTTAGATGGTGGAACTATGGCTGGGCTGCCTCCTCTCAGGAGATCAGAGACCCTGCAGCGGAGGATTCCCTGGGAAAGAAGTGGGCCGGATGAGGGGCCTGGGCCAGAGGGAGGAGACAGAGACTTTCGGAAGCTAAGGAAGAGAACTTTGAAAGAGAAAAGGCCGGGTTTGGTGGAGCATACCTGTAATCCCAGCCCTGAAGGAGGCTGAGGCGGGAGGGTCTCAAGTTGAGTCCTACCAGGGCAGTCTAGAGAGAGCCTGTCTCAAAATAAAAAATAAGGACCAGAGCCGGGGATTTAGCTCAGTGTTTCCGGCACCTGCCTCGAAAGTGCAAGGTCCCAAGTTCGATCCCCAGTACCCAAAAATAAATAAATAAATAAGGGCCAGGGATTTAGCTCAGTGGTGCCACCACCTGCCTCAAAAGCACATGGTCCTGAGTTCGATCCCCCGTATCTAAAAAATAAAAAGAGCTGGGGATATAGCTCAGTGATAGAGCCCAGCCTGGATCCCATCCCCAGTACCAAAAGAAAAAAGACAGAAAAAGAGAAAGGGAAAAACTTAGGTAGGTGGGAGGACAGATGGGCTTCGAAGCTCTGAGATAAGAGAAAGATTTAGGGGGACAGAGGCGAACAGAGACAAACACAGAGAAGGACGAGCTGAGTGTGTGGGTGCACGCCTATAATCCCAGGACTCGGGAGCCTGAGGCAGGAGGTCACCTTGAGGGCGGAATGTGGGCACCTGTGGCATGGCTTTGCCATTGCCCGAGGGACTTCACCTCCCAAGCCTCTGCTCTGGGGCACCCTACAAGACAGGTAGGTCACACGTTGGCCCCTAGGGGGCTCTGCAGTGCTGGGGAGCTGAGGCCGGGGACTGGGGGGTGGGACGGGCAGCCCAGAGCTGCTAACCCAATTTTCAGGCAGAGGCCATCCTCCACCCCGCTTTGCCCAGTCGCAAGTAGGACGTGGTGACCGCTGGGCAAGCCACCTGCAAGGCGACCGAGCAATCTGCCCAGAGGCCCAGAGCCAAAAGCTCGCAGGCCAAATGAGAAGCTGAAACCTCACTCGCTGAATCCATTTAAAACACTGGATTGTGGTGGCTGAGGCAGGAGGATCGCAAATTCGAGCCCAGCCTGGGCGATTCAATGAGAGTTTGAATCAAAATTAAAAGGGGCTGAGCTCTAGGTTCAATCCCTTCTAACAGAGAAGTCAATCAAACAGACGAAACAAGAAAAAAGATGGGGTTATCTTAGATCCAAATACTTGTGACCAAAGGCCCCACTGGAGTCTGGAACCCCGTGCTGTCCTTGCTCCCTGGCCCAGTTCCGGTGAGTGAGCGGAAGCCCGGCCCACAGCAGGCGCCTGGCTGCCCCTCAGCTGCCTGGGTCTGCTTGGCAGCCTGGATTTCTCCTGCTTGTTGCCAGTGGGCAGGGGCCCATGGACCCTTCTGCCTCCACCTACATGGACTGTTTTCTTGTTCTTTCTTGTCTTTTTCTTTTTTCAGTACTGGGGCTAAAATCCAGGGATGTGCTACCATTTGGATACATCCCAGCCCTTTTTATTTTTTCAGGTTAATTTTGCTTTTATGTTTTGTTTTATTAGCAGTGCTGGGGATCCAACTCAGGACCTCACATACACTAGGCAACAATTCCTTGACTGGGCTACATCCCCAGTCCTCCTTTTTATTTTTTGAGACAGGATCTCAGTTAAGTTCCCCAAGCTGAGCAACCTTCCTGCCTCAGCCTCCCAGAGTACTGGAATTACAGGCATGCACCACCATGCCTGGCTTAGTTCATATCTTTTTTTGGGGGGGGGGTACGGAGGATCAAACTCAGGACCTCGAACTTGCCAGGCAGGTGCTGTGCTGCTGAGCTAAATCTCCGCCCTATAATTTTTTTTTTTTTTTTTTTTTTTGGTGCTAGGGATTGAACTCTGCTCCTTGCTCTTGCCCAGCAGGCGGCGAAACCACTGAGCTAAATCCCTGGCCCTCTGTATTCTTTTTTTGTTGCTGTTGGTGCCAGGGATCAAACTCAGGACCTTGTGCTTTCAAGGCAGGTGCGGTGCCACTGAGCTAAATCCCCACCCTACATTGTTAATACAATAGACCCTCTCATCCACCAGGGACATATTCCAAAACTCCCAACAAATGCCAGAAACCACAGATAGTACTGAACCTTTGATGTTATGGTTTTTTTCAGATAGATATTGATATAGTTTGATTTATAAATGAGGTACAATAAGAGATTAATAACTATTAATAGATTAGAAAAAAATTTTAAAAGCCAGGTATGGTGGCACAAACTCGTAGTTCCAGGTACTTGGGAGGCTGAGGCAGGAGGATCACTGCAAGCTTGAGGCCAGCCTGGACTACATAGGGAGTTCAAGGCCAGCTTGAACTACATGTGAGACTGAAAAAACAAAACAAGAAAATTAAAACAACATACTATAATAACATTATTTTAAACATACTAATTATATCTGTAATGTTCCATTTAATAATTTGGACTAAGATTGACTGTAACTATATTTATAACCTTTTTGTTGCTGGGATAATAAGGTTTGTTGCCTGACATATAAGGTATGATCAAAATATACAGTGAATGTTTAAATTAAAATTTTATTACAGCCAGGAATGGTGGCACATGCCTGTAATCCCAGCACTCAGGAGGCTGAGGCAGGAGGATTGCTGTGAGTCTGAGGCCAGCCTGGGCTACATAGCAAAACCCTGCCTTGAAAAAAAGGTATTACAGTAAAAAACACACTACTATTAATCCCCTCAAAACAGTCCCCCTCACTTCAAACACGCTTATTCCATCCTTCGTGCCACTTTCTGAAGCAGTTCTGGAAGTCCTCTTTCATGAGCATCTTTACGAAATGTGATAAAAATACAGTGATTGCTGCTGCTCAGTGCCATCCAACAGAAAGGCAGCTCATAAAGACATCCCTGTGTCTCCCTGTAACCTTCTTCACCGGATCTGGCACTGTGCAACTTCTGGCTCTTTCCCCAAATCAAAATGACTGGGAAAGGTAAATGTTTAGAAAAAGTTCAGGACACTGAGGCACCCAGGACAAGGCAATTAAGGACATGTCCAATGACACAACTTCAAGGACGAAAGTTTTATTCTGGCTCACTGTTTCAGAGGTTTCAGTCCATGGTCCTGCCCCCAAGGCTGGAACGCCATTGTGAAGGACCTCAGCACTGCATGGGCCAGGGTGGGGGCTGATGCAGAGAGAACAAGAAAGAGCCAGAGCAAGGGACGCTCCTGCTATGGGCAGCCCAGAGACTGCCTCCTCAGTGGCCACAGTCCCATAGCATGTCAGCAGGAACTCAGCATGGGCAGGATCTGAAGAGGTCAGGGCCATGAGTTACTTTCTGAGCCCACCTCTGAACACAGGGGCTTTTGTTGTTTTTGTGACAGGGTCTCCCTATGTAGCCCAGGCTGGACTCAAACTGGTGGCAATCCTCCTGCCTCAGCCTCTTGAGTGCTGGGATTAGAAGTGTGTACTACCATGCCTGGCTACAAGAGCCTTTTGAGGGGGACAGTTTTGATCCAAACCATAACAGTAAATGAAACCATGGATAGGGGAGAGACTACTGCACGTCAACAGGTCTCATTCTTTGTGTCACCTCTGTGTCCCTGCTTGTATGGTTCTTGGGTCCTCTATATAGCAGAACTGAATACCATATTATTATTATTATTATTATTTTTTTTTTTTTGGTACCAGGGATCAAACTCAGGTCCTTGCGCTTGCAAGGCAGGCTGCGGAACCACTGAGCTAAATCCCCAGCCTACCATATTATTTTTTAAAAAATACAGCCAGGAGTGGTGGTGTAGCCTGTAATCACAGCACTGGGGAGGCTGAGGCAGGAGGATCACCATGAGTTCAAGGCTAACCTGGGCTACATAGTGAGTTCAAGGCCAGCCTGAACTGCATAGGGAGACCCTGTCTTAATAAATAAATACACAAACAAACAGAGGATGCAAGTGTAGGTGGGAGAATTTGGTGAGGCGCCCAAGGGAAGTGCTCGGGAGGAGGCTGGGCAGAGTCTGCGCAGTTGTTCCGCCATGGAAGGAAATGGGAGGGACACAGAGAGAGGCCGGGGCTTCCCTTGGTCTTGGGGGGCGGGCAGAAAGACGCCCCTGACTACAGACCCTGGGGAGTTGGAGGGGAAGGGGGGAGGGAGACCCCAGAGAGGAAGGGGTTCTCTGCTCAGCACCTGGTCCAACATTAATGAGAAGGTCTGGGGCTCAGCCCCCCAAGAGGGCACACATTTGCATAAGGTTCTGCCCCTGCCTGGCATCACAGGCAATTTGCGTACAGATGGCAGCCTGGGCCCACTTCACCGGGACCCCTCCTCCCACCCTGGCCAGGGCCTGGAGGAAGAGGATGGAGGGAAGGGTGAGCCATGGCATCTGGGACTCCAGGAGGTAAAACAAGTTTATAATGAGCTTCCTTCACTCAGCAGCCTTCTGTGGCTCCCTATTGTTCCCAGGAGCAGGACCACCCTTCACAGGGCATTCAGGGCCCTGGGAGACACTGCTCCTCACACACACCCACTGTTCCGTCTCCCGCCATGCTTGGTGATTGACATCACTGTTCCCCTTCCCAGGAATGCCCTTTCCCATGGCCCCCACTATAACTAAGAGGCCTGGACATCTAGGCTTTTGAAAAGTTTCATCATCACCCCTCTCCTGCGCTCAGGACATTGCAGGAATTTGTATCTCTTCTGGACTTGGACAGATTTTATCAGTTAGGCTATGTTTGGTTACAAATGACCAAAAAAAGGAAAAAAATAACTCAGTAAAAATATGATTCTGGGCAGGGTGACACATGCCTGTAATCTGAGCACTTGGGAGGCTGAGACAGGAAGATCATCAGGAGTTCAAGGCCAGCCTGGGCTACCTAGCAAGATCCTGTCTCAAAAAACAACAGGGCTGGGGATTTAGCTCACTGGTTCTGCCGCCTGCCTTTAAAGTGGAAGGACCTGAGTTCGATGCCTGGTACCAAAAAAAAAAAACCAACAACAAACACACATACACACACAAAACAAACAAAAAACTGATGTAGGTGAAAAGGGATCAATTATTTAGCATATAACTGGGAAGTGCAAAGATGGGCTACCTTCAGGCATAGCTGGATCCAGGGGCTCCGATCCATTCCCATTCCTGAACCAAAGCCAGGGACATCAAGTCCTCTGTTTGGCCCAGCTCAGGTGAGGCCTGCTCTGTCCCAGAAGGACTTGAGTGATAAGGAAAGCCGCAGAGTGTGGCAGCTCCTGGCAGAAAAAAGAGGGAGGTTGTGGGCAGGTGAAGCACCTGCTGTTGACTCCGAGGCCCCTTCGGGAAGCTGCCCTGCCCTAAGTCCAAGGCTCTTCAGCCAAGTGCAGCCTTGGGACTCATTAACACCGGAAGTTGACCCCCAGGCATGGGACCCATCTAGTCATTTGTCAACAAAGCTCACGCTTGTGACCTGGGGACTCCAGTCTGCACTCACAGACTCCGGGGGCTCACCCCACCCACCTGGTGGTGGGACAGAGGGTGGGTGCTGGGGACCTTCCTACTCCCTGCAGCCAGCAGTGTGAGCTTTAGGAGCCCGAGCTCCTGGCCAGGTCAGGGAGCCCCAGCGCACATTTTCGATGCCCTTATTTGTTCAGCCGGACTTTCGTTCACCGGTGGGGAGCCTGAGACATTTCTTTTTTTTTTTTTGGTACTGGGGATCAAACTCGGGTCCTTGTGCTTGCACAGCAGGCGTCGAAGCCACTGAGCTAAATCCCCTCCCCGGCCCCCTGAGACATTTCTTATCTAGAGGTAACGGAGCAAAGACACTGAGAGCAGAGAGGACCAGGTCCTAATCCCAGCCTGCTACTTCCTCTCAGTGAAATGGGGATCATGATAGTGTCCCCTTCGTGGACTTTGGGGAGGAATAAACTTAGACAAATAATGCACATAAAACAGTTCCACAACTGCCATTTTTTTTCCGTGCTGGGAATTGAATCTAGGACCTTCCCACTGAGCCACACCCCTATCCTTTTTTTAAATTTTGTGTTGTTTTTTTTTTTGGTACCAGGGTCGAACTCGGGACCTTGCGCTTTCGAGGCAGGCACCGGAACCACTGAGCTAAATCCCCGGCCCTCCTTTTTTTTTATTTTGACACAGGGTCTCCCTAAATTGCCCAGGCTGAGCTTCACTTTGTTTTCCATTTGTTTGTTTGTTTTGAGGAAGGGTCTTGCTCAGGCTGTCCTTGAGTTCACTATGTAGCCCAGACTGGCCTTGAACTACAACCCTCTTGCCTCAGCCTCCCAAGTGCTGGGAATTACAGGAGTGAGCTACCAAACCACACTAGTCACATCCGACTTTTTTTTTTTTGGTACCGGGGACTGAACTCCAGTCCCTGCTCTTGCAAGGCAGGCTGCCGAACCACTGAGCTAAATCCCCAACCCCTCACATCTGACTTTGTAACTAACTCTGGGGCAAGTCACTTTATCTCCGGGTGCCTCAGTTTCCTTATCATGTAAGGCACTGTGTGGGTTGAGATAACACTTGCAGTGCTGGGCATGGTGTGCACACCTGTTATCCCAGCACTTGGGAGGCTGAGGCAGGAGGATCACCCAGAGTTCAGGGCCAGTCTGAACTACATAGTGAGAAATAAATACATAAGTGGAGATAACAGGTTGTGCGTTTAGATCAGCACCTGCGCACAGTGAGTGCTAAGTTAATTTATCAACAGTACCTTTACCAGCTCTTGGACGTGGGTCAGCGAAAGCCTGCGGGGCCAGGGACTGCCCTCTGGGGAGGAGAGCCAGGTGTGTGGCAGGTGGACATGAGCCAGCCTGCAGGACAAGAAGCCCTAACATGCCAGCCCCTGCTGACCAGCTCAGCTCGCACCCCGCCCGCCTGAAGGCTCCGGGTCCAGCGCTCAAGGCGTCCCCGCCTCGGCCTCCAGCCTCTGCCCTCACCGGCCCAGGGCGCCTCCCCCGGTGGCCAGGAATATGAGAGGCAGGTGGGGGCGGGGAGGCGCGGGCCAGCGGGAGACAAAGGGGCCGAGTCAGAGAGAGACACAAAGACGCGGGGAGGCTGGAGCGGTGAAGTGGGACAAGGACACGGGGAGGGACCGCAGGGTCCGAGCCGGCCAGGCCAGCCCCGCCCAGCCAGCCCGGCCCAGCCAGCCTGGCAAAGCGCGGGGCGGTCTGTGCTGCCCCCTGGCGGGCGGCCCTGGAACGGGGACCGCAGACCCTGCGCGGGAGAGGGGACCCGGGCAGGCGGGGAGAGAGGGACACCGAGAAGAGCGAGGTAGAGGCGAGGAAAGAAACAGAGTCACAGGCATAGTAAGACACAGAAAGAGACAGGGACAGTGAAACAAGAGACACAGGGAGAGAGAAACAAGAAACAGCCAAAGGGTTGGAAAGACATGGGAACCAAGCGACACAGAAACACTGACAGAGACCAGAAACACTGAGGCAGTAAGACCGGAAAGACTCCGAAACAGGAACAAAAGGGAGATGCAAAGGTGAGAGACACTAAGAGAGAAATCTAGAAAGGAACGAATCAGGACAGAGACTCAGGTGTGCGGAGGGATACCCAGCTGGCGGGACTGACGCGGGACACCTGGAGACTGGGAAACCAGGAGACTGGGAAACCAGGAAACCTAGCGACCCGGGAGAGAGGGCGGGACCTGGTTGTGGGCGGGGCCCAGACGGGGCGGGCCTACGAGAGCCCATATACCCCAGGCAAGCATGACGAGAGGGGCCTGGCTGCCCAGAAGGGGGCGGGACAATGCTGTGGGCAGGGGCGAGGCCGAGCGGGACTGGGTTCCCGCAGAGTGGACAGGCTATTAGGAAGGCGGGGGGCGGGTCCGGGCCTGGGGCGTGGCTTCACGGGGGGGGGGGGTGCGGCCGGAAGTTCCCAAGGGGGCTTGGCAGAACCTTTGTAGAGCGTCCAGTAGGTGGGGACCTGGGCGCTCAGGGACACCCCTGGAGGGGGGCGTGGCTACATCCTAAAGGGGCGGTGTTTCACCTCAGAGAAAGGCGGAGATAGAATCTGAGGGAAGAGCGATCCTGGGCGGGATCCCAGAGAAGTGCTGGTAGAAAATCCTGGGAGGGGGCGGGCACAGAACCCTGGGGAAGGGAGGGGGCGTGTCCGAACTCCAGAAGGGGGCGTGGCCGCAGACCCGGATCGGCTCCGCGGGGGAAGGGTAGGGGATAGGTTCAGTGACGTCAGCGAGTCCGAGAGGCCGGAGCTCTGTGAGGGGCCCGAGGCGCGGATCCTAAGAGCCAGGCGGGGAAAGCTGGGCCGGGAGATCCGAGCAGGGAGAGCGGTGAGCGGCGGGAACCTGCCCGGAGCCGCACCCCTAGGCACCTGCTCGACTGCCCAGCCGATCGGCCATCGCGGAGTGGCCCGCAAGCCCCCGCCCGGGCCCAGCCCCCTCCCGGGGCCCCATGGCCCGGGACGCAGCCCTCGCGCAGTCGAGACTGTTGCCGACGCTGCCGCTGTTGCTTCTGCAGCTCCTAGAAACAGGTAGGAGACCGAGACCTTCCCTTTCCTCCCCGCTTTCAGCTCCCCAGGCCCCGAGGCTCCTCTCGCGCCCCCTTCCAGGCTGGGCCTATCGGCCCCTATACGGACGCACCCCATCCTCTCCGAGCCCCCAGCCCCTCCTCTCGGTGTTCCTCATCCGTCACACCCAGTACCCTACCCGCCCATCCTGCCCCGCACTTCGCGGGGGGCGGGCTTGGATCCTCGAGCCCAAGGGGTTAAATCTGAGGTCTGCGGAAGCCTCGCGCTCCCTTCCTAGTCCCAGGATCTGTTCCTGGCTTGCTGCCCGCCCCAGGAATGTGGGGAATGTGCCTCCCCCAGAGGGAGGGTCCTGATGATGGAGGAGCCCCCCGCCCCCGTGTTTCCTTCTTGCCAGGGTTGAGTCTGGGCCGGGGAAGACTTGAGGGCAAGGGGCAGACGTCGAAAAGAAAAGGGCGGAGAGCTCGGACTTTGGGGTCCTGGGTGACTGAGGATGAGAGTTGGGGCGACCTGGAGGGAGAGGGCCTGAGCTTGGAGCTCCAGCCCTGGTCGGGAGTTTGCAGACTGAGACCACTAAGTACTGAAAGGTGAGGGGCTGGGGTCCCGGTCCTGTGTCCTGAATCCCGGCTAGAACAGGCTAGGGGCTGTTACTAATGGGTCGAGGTAGATTTGGGGACTCGAGGGGCTCCGATTTGTGGTTTAGGATTGGATTGTGGGCCAGGTGCTCCGTCTCCTGGGTTCCTGGTGGAACTGGGGGGCCTCAGATCGAACTGTGGCCAGAGGAATGTCTTCTGAGAGCCAGGCACTGGGCAGGAGGGCGGTGTCCCTTGCCCTCCAGATAGAAGCAAGAGCTGGCCGCTGTGTCCAGGAGTTGGGCCTCAGGAGGCCGAGTCCGGGTGGGTCCAAGGCTGAGATCCTGGGGTGTTCGGAAGCTGGAGCTGCCTCCCCGTCCCGGTCCTGAGAGTTTCCCAAGTATCGCCTTCCCCCAGCCAGGGTGGGGCAGCAGGGCGGGAGCTGTCCTCTTCGCTGTTCCAGCTCCCGGTTTCGGGACCTTATCTTCCTCCTGTCGAGCCTTTGTCCTCGAGCTGCTGTGGGGGTGGAGCCTCTGAGCCAATCCCCGCACCTTCCCTGTCCCCCACCTGGGGAGGGGCGCAGCCCCCAGCGGAGGGAGAGACTGAGAGGACACAGGTGAATGAGCTGGTGCCGCCCATTGCAGGTGACAGATTGTTCCCAGCTAGAAACTGGAGGATGCTGGAGTTTCCCAAGGGTTTGCCCAGAGGGACTCAGGAGGCTCTTGGGGGAACCTGGTGACTCCTCTGGCCTCAAGTTCCCGTGATGTCTCGAGTTTTTATCTGGGCTCAGCCCCAAACCATCGCTTGACTCTTCCACCCCCTGCTTCTCCCTCTCCTGGATGAGATCAGAACCCCCACCTCGGGGTGAACCCCGGACCTTGAGCCAAGACCCGACTTGGTGCTGGCCTCACAGAAGGTTCCAGATCGCCCTAAGAAAGAGCTCCTCCTCCAGTTTCCATGTTTCGAGCAGGGAAACAGAGGCTTAGGGAGGGCCAGGCTCTCTCCCAGGGTCCCACTGCAGTCCCAGGCAGCCAGACTCCAGAGCCTACCCTCTGGATGCCCGCTCTTCAGAGCCCTTGGCTGGGTGGGCCCCAAAGGGCCTCTGAGCCTCCGTCTCCTCCTGTGTAAAACTGAGTGACTTCCCTTCCCTGCAGGACCACGCGGGGGGGGGGGTTCAGAGGGCCCACGAGGCCTTGAGGGGACTGGGAAGGGGCCTCCCCTCCCACCAGGCTCCTCCTTCTGCCCCTGCTTGCAAAAATCTCAATCCCCCTTCTCTCTCTCTCCCTCTGTCTCTCTCCCCCTCTCCCTCTCTCCCTCTCTCCCTCTCTCTTCCTCTTTTCCTCCCTCCTTCCCCCTCCCCTCACTCTCTCCCCTCTTCCTCTCTTCCTTTCTCACCTCTCTCCCTCCTCCTCTGGCTCCTCTGAGTCCTCTTTCTCCTCCTCCCCATCTCTCTCTCCTTTCCCTCCACCCTGTTTCGAAGCCCCTCTGAGGCCCCCTGGGAATGAGGGTGCCCCCCCTGGAACTCCGCCCAGCCCACCCGCCCCTCCACTTCCTCGGCTCATCCGTGTCAGCCAGGCAGCCCCACGCAGGCAGGAGGGGGAGGGGAGGAGGGGACTGCCGGCCGCGCTGTCTCTTCTCCTTAGGGAAGGGCACTGAGCAGAACCTCAGGACCAGGGACCAGATCCGCAGAGAGGACAGAGATGCAGGGATGGGGACAGAAGTCAACAGAGGGAGCGGGCGGGACCAGATCTAGAGAGGGAGCCTGATCCACACATAAGAATGGCACAGAGATGGGGGGTGACATCCAGCCACAGGGAGGGGCAGAGACACTGGGGAGGGAGGAGAACTCTGGGGAAGGGAGGCAGCTGAGACCAGAGTGAGGGCGGGGTCAGCCAAGGAGACAGAGGGGCTTGGTGACAGCCAGGGAGGGCAGACCCCAGCCGAGGGAAAACGGGGATCCAGTGACTCCCGGAGGTCAGGGCACAGGGAGCCACAAGGCCAGCAGCGTGCGGGCCACAGGGAGCTGTGACACGGGAGGGACAGGGAGGTGTGCACTGGGCCAGCCAGCCCTCCCCACCTGGGATGCTGTTACTTTTTGTGTGTGTGTGTGGTACCAGGGATCGAAGTTGAACTCGGGACCTTGCGCTTGCGAGGCAGGTGGTGGAACTACTGAGCTAAATCCCCGGCCCTCGCTATTACATTTTTAATGTCCCAGCAATGCTGAGAAATGGAGCAGGAGGGGGAGGAGAAGGGACCCAGAGAGGTGGCCAGGCAGCGAGAAAGCATGTCAGGGATGTGGAGAGATAGGCGGCAGGGAGACCCCAGGTCAGAGTCACAGAGACACCCTGAGAGATTCAGCCCAGAGACATGGAGAGACCAGAGCCCCCCGGAATCTCAGGCAGAAGCAGATTCCAGAGACAGGAGACCCAGACCCAGAAGAGAGGGGAAAAAATGAGAGAATGGAAGCCTAGCTTGGTGGTGCACACCTGCAGATCCCAGCATTTGGAGAGGCTGAGGCAAGAGGATCTCAAGTCCACATTCCAGCTCAGTCTAAGCAACTTAGTAAAACCTTGTCTCAAAATAAAAACATGATAAAAATTTTTGGCTGGGGAGCGGGTAGTTCAGTGTGAAGGCCCTGAGTTCAGACTTCAGTACCTTAAAAAGGAAAGGGAAGGGAAAGGAGGGAAGGAGGGGGGAAGGGGAAAGGAACGGAGGGAAGGGGAAAGACAGAAAATAAGAAAACAATTCAGGGCATGAGTGTGTTCATGATCAACACGAAGGTTCTAGCACCGTGGTGATGGATGCACAACCCTGTAGACATGCTAAGAGGAGTTGAACTGGATGCATCGGTGGGTCGCACGGCATGGAAATTACGTCTCCATGAAGTTGTTCCAAGGAGCGAGAGGTGAGGGCAGCTGAGGCTGAGCCCTGGTCCCTGAGAACCAGCAGGAACCAAAGACCAGGGACACTGAGAGGGAGGAAAAGCCTCCGCCCGGATCCCCAGGACTGGGCTGTGAACTCCCACTCAGGATGTGAGCTGGATCTGCCCACCCCCCAGGAAGGGCTGTGCTGGATTCTGACCCAAGAGTCAGAACTGTGGCGAGGGGAGTGGGGACCGGGTCCTGCTCTGGGAGGGAACTGGGCAGGCTGGAGGGCTGGAGGGGGCCACCCTTGACCGTGAGTGGTGAAGGCCCCAAGGCAGGCGGAGAAATCCAGCCCCAGGCCCACAGTCGTCCAGGCTGCTGCTGCTCACTCCCCAGACCGGCTCCGGATTTCTGCTGCAGGGGTGGGCACTGTGATGAATGCAATTAATTAATTAATTAACCAGGCGGCTGAGGCAGCAGCTGAGGCCTGGGCTCTGGGCACGCAGGACTTCAAGGGGCCCCTTCCAGAGTCCTGCCCCACCCTGCCATGGGCAGGGGGTCAGACCGTCATATAAGCTACGAGGTGGTGGTGGCAGGGAGAGGCTGGAATCCCTGAGGAGGTGTCCAGGCCGGAATCCCAGAGCTAGATCCAGCCTCCTCCCTCAGGCCCAGAAGTTCAGGCCCAGATTCTAGCCCATAAATCACTCTATCTGTCCTCCCTGCCTTGGTCAACCCCTGCCTGCATCTCAAGGTCTCCAGCTCTATGTCCCTGTCCCCTAAAGTTCCCCCTAGGCCTTCACCACCACCCCCCACGCCGCCATGGACGGAAGCCTGCAGGTCCAGTCCGCAGGGGCAGGAAGTGTGTTTGGGGACCCAGCTGACAGCTCCATAGCACTGTCACCAGTCTGACTTGCCCTGGGAAGCGGAGGACAGCCGGAGCTGTCACAGCCACTCTCCCCCGGCGTGGTGCTGGCCTTGTCTCTGCCAAGGTCAGGGAGAAGCAACCGCCCGCACTGGACTGGACACAGTCCTCACTTGGGCCCAGTGCTCCTCCCGCTTCTACCCCTGCCGCGCTGACCTGCCAAACCCCAGCCGCACACTCCCTTCTCTCCTAACTCTCACTCTCCGCCGCTCCCCAGTGCCCTCAGGACAAAACCCTAGTTCTAACTCAACCTCAGCCTGGGCACCACAATTCCTATCTCCCTCTCTTTTGCTCCGTGCACCTCTCTGTGGGGCTTCTGACAGTGGGCAGCCCTGTCTGGACTCTGGGGACACTGATTTCTGCCCCTGGGTCTGAAATGCCAGTGGGGGGGGGGGATAAGCAGGGTTCTAGGTGACAGATGGTGGTCAGTGCTGTGAGACAAAAGAGAGCAAGATCTAGGGATCCTTGCTGTCCATGTGGTGGTCAAGGAATGCTTCAGTGAGCAAGAGGCCTGGAGGGAGGGAAGGCGGGAGCAGTAGAGACTGGTGCAGGAGTGCGAGCAGCAAGTGCAAAGGCCCTGGGACAGGACTCAAATGGCATTTAAGGAGCAGTGGGAAGGCCAGCCCAGGGGCGAAGAGGTGAGGAAAAGGGTAGATAAAGGCATGCAGCCTATTTGAGCAACCGTGAAATCAAGCTTTGTCCTGAATGAGGAGAGAGCTTCATCAGAGCAGAGAAGGGGCACGTGATCTGCCATAGCCACCCTTCGGGGACATCCCGAGGGGCCCCTACCATCTTCCTAGACCAGGGTGGGGCCCAGGGAGGAATCCCACATGGTCCAGTAGATACTGTTGCAGATAGGGCCTGCAGGATTTTCTAATGGGCTCCCTGTGGGGGAAGGGAGAGACAAGTCAGGATGACTCCAAGGTTTTGACCCTGCACTCTCTCCTGAGACAGAAATGCCTTAAAGTTGGCCTCCTTGCCCCTTCCCCTGGCTGGAACTGTCCTGTTCATTCATTCAGAACTGGAGACTGAGAAAGGTGGCATCAGGGGATGTCTTGGTTACTCTTCTCACACTGAGACAAAGCACCCGACACCCACAGTTAAAGGAGGAAAGGTTTATTTGGCTCACAGCCTGTAGAGGTTTCAGTCCCTAGTCGGCTGGCTCCAGGGCAGGGTGGCGTGGCAGAGGGGCTTTGCAGAGGAGAAACAGTCTATGGCAAGCAAGCAGGTGAGAGCACATTGGCCCTCTTTCTGTCCTTTATATTTTATGCAGGTTCCCCTAGGCAGGGAACCCTTACACCCTTAATCCTAGCATCACACACTCTAGATCCAGCCACCTCTGACTAAGGCCCACTGATGACCACGCAGGGCTTTGGGGGACATCTACACGCAGCCGTGGCAGGTGGGATTGAGCAAATGGAACCTAGGGCCGCATTCATTCAGTCCTTACACACTGAGCATCTGCCACCAGTCTGTCGCAGACCTGGTAGTGGCTGTGAACAGACATCCCTGCCCTGGGGTGCTGGTGTCCCAGGAGGACAAGACACCAGGTGGCTGAAACAGGAAACGCAAGGAGACCCCACCCTGGGGGGAGAGATCTGCTTAGGAGATTTGCCCCAGGAAGTTGAATGGTTCCGTTTGATTTCTGGTGACACCTTCGTAGGCCACCTTGCTGTCTGCAATCCATTCTGTTCAGCTCACCCCCTGCCCTCATACCTCCCTGGCTGAAATCAACTCATTCTCCAGCTGAAGAGCCATCTATGGCTCCCATGTGCCTCCCCCACACCTCCAGGACCCTGAGCTCCTTGGCCCCACGCTGGTTTGCTATTTCTGTGATGGCTCATGAAAGCACACAGTGGCTTTTCCCGAGTGCCCTTCCCTTTGGGCACCCTGAGGTGACAGGTCCTAGCATCTAAGGGCTCTGGCAGGAGCTCAGAGGAAGCCCCTGTGTGGGAGGGAGCCTCTTCCTCAGCCCACCTGACTGACCCCCAGGAGCCCCATCTGCTGAGTTTTGCCTGGATTTTATTTTTTGTTTTTTGTGGTGCTGGGGCGGAGGGCACACACCTGTAATCCTAGCACTCTGGGAGGCTGAGGCAGGAGGATCCCAAGTTCAGACCCTGTCTAAAAATAAAAAAGAGCTGGGGATGTAGCTCAGTGTGAAGGCCCTAAGTTCAATCCCCAGTGCTAAAAAAAAAAAATCAGTAAATGAAACCCCTGTGGGCCCCAGAAAGTGCAGGCAAAACCAGATGTGGCCCCAGGGGGCAGTGCAAACCCCTGGGGCTGGACCCACCCTGCCGGTCTGCAGAGAGTGCCCGGGGCCCCTGTCACATGGAGGAAGCTGGGCTGGGGAAGCGGTCACTTGGCTGGGAAGGGAAGGAGGAGGGAGAGCCCTCATCTGTCTGTCACAGGTTTGAGGCTCAACACCCAGCTTCCAGCCTCTTCAGAGGGTGCGTCTCTTTCCTGAGGTGGCTTAAGTGTGACGTGCTGTGTGTGTCACTGGAGGCCTTCACTCATGGCCCCCTGTCGATGTCCCCCAGCTCCCTGGAGATGGGGCGGCACCCTGGGCCCTGGCGCAACCCGAACCTCATCAAGGGGCACTTGTAATTACAACAACCTCCATGGCGTTTGTTTAACAAGCTCTGATCTCCAGCTTCCTGTGGCCCCATTAGTGCTTCACAAATATTCTTGAACCCTCATAACTACTCCTAGGACACAGGGCCCTGTTATTATCCTGATTTTATAGCTAGGAAACTGAGGCACAGAGAGAGTAAGACTTGGGGAAGGCCACAACGCCAGGCAGTGGCAGAGCCAGGATTCAAAAACACAAAGTCTGTGCCTGTGGTCATCGTGCTGTACTGTCTTGCACGGCCCAGAAACAGTCTTCCTTATTCCAGTTTTATTAAAAGGGAGAACACGGAGGGGATATAGCCCAGTGGTACAGCATTTGCCTGGGATGCTCCAGGCCCAGGATTCCACCCCAGCACTGCAGAAAAGAAATGACGAGAAAAGAAGGGAAAAGGAAAGGAAAAGAAAGAGAAAACTGGGAGTGGTGGCACACTCCTGTAACCTCAGTGCTTGGGAGGCTGAGGCAGGAGGATTACCAAGAGTTCGAGGCCAACCTGGGATATATAGTGAGTTCAAAGCCAGAATGAACTATCTAGCCAGACTATATCTCAAAGAAGAGAAAAGTGATGTCAAATGAAGGAGCCAGGTGCTAAAGGCCATAGGTGGTATCATATGACAGCCAGCTGGTAGATGAGAAGTCGGGATCTATAGAGACAGAAGGCGAATCCCAATTAGGGGTGAGGGTTTCTTGTGGGGACACCAAAAGTGCCCTAAAACTGACTGTGGTAGGACTGCACAGCTCTGGGACTAGACCAAAAGCCACTGAATTGTACGAGTTCAGTGGATGACGGAGGGTGAGGGTCTTGTTCTTGCAGAAGTGTCTGAGCGCGTTGCAGATGGGACGCTTCAGCCCTGTGTCTCTTGGCAAAGGTGCTCTGCATAACCACAACTTAATTTCTGTGCCTAAGAATATTACCAGGAATTCCACAATAACATGTAATCTAATTAAGATTTTATGAAATTATTCCTGGCATGCAACTCCTAAAATCCTTCATCTCTCCCAAGGGACAGCAAATAGTGTCTTTTTTTCCTTTCTTTCTCCTCAGTATGGAGGACGAGGCCCCAGATCATTCCACTGAGCAACACCCCCAAGCCCTTTTTTTTTTTTTGAAACAGGGTCTCACTAAGTCAATAAATGGCTAAGGCCAGACTCAAACTCAATCCTCCTGTATCAGCTTCCCTTGATGCTGGGGTCACAGGCGGGCACCACCACGCCCGGCTCTGTGTATTTTTGAGACAGTGTCCCTGTGTGGCCCAGGCTGGTCCTGCACTCCTGGGCCCAAGGGATCCTCCTGCCTCAGCCTCCCACATACCTGGGGCTACAGGCCCACGCTACTGTGCTTGGTTTCCATTAATTTGTTAACCTGCCCACAGAACTCAGGGAAACATGTTCACTGGTTTGTTCTAAAGGATATTCTGAAGAATAACAGGTGAAGAGGGACTCAGAGCAAGGCCTGGGAGAAGGGGCCTGGGGGTTCCTGCCGTGTCTGGGGGGTGCCTCATCTCTGGGAGCTCCATGTGTTCAGCTGTCAGGAAACTGGCCCAATCTTGTCCTTTTTCTTCCCTTCAGCACTAGAGACTGAACCCAGAGTCTTTGCACTGAGCTACATCCCCAGCCCCTTTTGTATTTTATTTTCTTTTGAGGCAGGGTCTCCCTTTGTAGTTCAGGCTGGACCTGAACTCACTATATACCCCAGGCTGGCCTTGAACTCACAGTGATCTTCCTGCCTCAGCCTCCTGAGTGCTGGGATGGCAGGCATGTGCCACCACACCTGGCAATTTGTATTTATTTTGAGACAGGATCTCACTGTGTTGCTAAATTGCCCAGGCTGGGTTCAAATCTGCTAATCTCCTGCCTCTGCCTCCCAGGGTGCCAGGGTTACAGGTAAGCACCATCACCCCCAGTTACTTTTGGCTGTGCACGCCTGTGATCCCAGCACTTTAGAGGCTGAGACAGGAGGATCTTTTTGAGTTCGAGGCCAGCCTGAGCTACATCGTGAGTTTATGGCCAGTCTGGGCTACACTGTGAGACTCTCTCAAAACTACCACCTTCCTGGGGCGGGGGATTTAGCTCAGTGGTTCTGGCACCTGCCTTACAAGCGCAAGGTCCCAAGTTCGATCCCCAGTACCAAAAACAAAACAAAACAAAAAAAACTACCACCTTCCAAAAAAAAAAAACCACAACCAGGTGGCTGCAGTGGGCACCTGGGACCTTCAGGATCCCACGCTGTGTCCAGATAGCTGTGCCCAGGTAGAGTAGAATGTGGGGCTCCCCATGCAGATTTGATGTTGCTCCATGGGGGACCCCGTGTTCTGGTGTCAGAAGCACAATGTGAGAGCGTAGCGGAGGAGGCACCGGAGTTTGCCTTCCTGTTCACTGGCCCAGACTGGGATTCCCCACTCTTCCCCGAACTGGCCTTTCCAGCTGGCTCTCCAGACACCGCTGCCCGGGCGCCTCCCTTGTCCTCGGGCCAGATCTCCCCGCCAGCTCCACCCGGCCCGGAGGTCTCGGTCCCCCCAGCCTCGGCTTCCTCTCCCCTCAGGAGCCCAGGATATGCAGGTCCAAGTGCTTCCCGAGGTTCGGGGCCACCTGGGTAACACCGTGGAGCTGCCGTGTCACCTGCTGCCGCATACCCAGAATGTGAACGTCACGCAGGTGACCTGGCAACGCCTGAACGGAATCTCCGTGGCTGCCTTTCACCCCAACTACGGCACCCACTTCCCCAACCAGCAGCCTAGCCTGGAGCGGCTGGCCTTCGTCAGAGCCGGCCAGGGCACCAAGACCAACCTGTATGACGCCACGCTGGCCATCCATGACCTGCGCCTGGAGGATGAGGGCAACTACACCTGCGAGTTCGCCACCTTCCCCAAGGGCACCCGCTCGGGGGTGACCTGGCTCCGAGTCATAGGTGAGCATCGGGGTGCTGCTGCGAAAGAGCATCCCCTCCCACCCTTTCCTTTCTGCCCCAGCCTCGAGGCTGGCTTTCCCTGTGACATCGCTCAGTTGGCAGGTGTTCTCTAACTACCTACTGTGCACCAGGTGCTTCTCTGCATGCTGAGGATACAGCAGGCAACAATGCATTCTCGGCACATTTTTATTGAGCACCTACTAGGCACTTTCCTGAGTTTTCGGGATGATGCACTAAGACAGAACTCCCTGTCCTTCTGGAGCTCATGCTCCAATCAGGAGGCACCAGAGAGTACGCAAATACGGAGCTGGGCGTAATCCACCAGCCCGTAATCCTATCACTCCGGAAAGCTGAGGCTGAAGGGTCCTAAGTTTGAGGTCACCCTGGGCAATTTGGTGAGACCCTGTCTCAAAATTTAAAAACGAAGAAAGGGCAGGCAGGTGTGTAGCTTACTGCAAAGCTCCTGGGCTCAATGTCCAGTATCACATAAACAAATATAAAAAACCAGAGTAAGCTGGCTGTGGTGGTGCACACCTATAATCCCAGCACTTGGAAGCCTGAGGCAGGAGGATTGCCATGAGTTTAAGGCCAGCCTGAGCAATATAGTGAGTTCAAGACAGCCAGCCTGGACTGCATGGCAAGACCCTGTCTCAAACACACACACACACACACACACACACACACGCGCGCGCGCGCGCGCGCGCGCGCTCACCCCAGAGTGTAAGGCAGGCAGTTTTAGGCACTGTGGAAGGTGAAGGGGACAGATTGCAGTCAGCTTGGAGGTCTGGTGATTCTTAAACAAAACTAAAAGGAGGGACTAGAGCCCTGTGGTACCTGAGAGGAGAGATGGGGGAAGCGGGAGGGTGCATGCAAAGGCCCTGTATCAGGACACATCAGGAAGGCAGGCAGGGAGGGAGGGGCAGAGGGACAAAGGTGGGAGAAGAGGGAGGGTGGGTACAGCCATGTGAGTAGGAGGTGGGAGGAATAGAGGAGACAGAGTCATGAGTGATCCCAGTGAAGACTTCAGTTTTGCCCTGGGAACAAGCTACATAGGTGCTGAGTGGCAGAGGGACAAGTCGGCCTGGGGCCTGGGAAACCATGGAACAGACAGTGGCTGGGAGAACAGGATGCAGGGCCTGGTGCAGGGCAGATGTCAGGGAGGCTCCTGAGTGAGTCCTGGACGCAAGCAGAGGGCCCAGTGTTCGAGGGAGCTAGGAGGTGGGGACCAGCCAGGTGTGTTTCAGGGATGGACGGCAACTGGGGTGGGGGGAGAGGCTGGGGCTGGGGGGCCCTCTCTGAAGTGGGAAAGCACTCAGGAGGCTGAGACAGGAAGATCACTATGAGTTTGAGGCCAGCCTGAACTGCATAGCATGACCCTGTCTCAAAAACCAAAAAAATATATAAAAATATGAACAGCTGCCAGGTACCAGGCATGGTAGGTACCGAGAGTAAAAAGGCCAGCCTCTGCCTTCCAGGGGAGTGGGTGACCCCTCAGACACTACAGGCAAGCTGATCAGAGGACAGGGACGTCCCCTTGAGGAAGCAAGGCTTGGGCTGGCATCTGGGACCCCGCAGTGGGCAAGAGAGTGGACCAAGCCTGCAGTTAGCCGAGGGCAGCCTGTGCCGGCTCCCTGGGCTCTCAGCGTCCTGAGGGCTCTGGCAGGGCAGTCGGGGCACACGGCCACAGCAGAGATGGGGGGGCACAAGGACAGGCCTGGAAGGCAGCAGGAGGCTCGAGTCAGAGCCCTGGGGACAAGCAGGGTTTCCCCCTTCTGTGTTTTCCAAGAGGACTGAGTGAAAGAGACAAAGATAAATGACCATGCTGAGCACCTCCTGTGCCTTGTCCTGCATGGGGAGCAGAGGGGAGGGGACAACATGGCAGAATGGGCAACACTCGGGTAGCGTAGTATGTGCCAGACCCGAGCCTAAGCCCAGACAGGTGGAGTTCTTTACTCTGCAAAGAAATGGTTTGGGCCTTGAACTCACAGTCATCCTCCTGCCTCAGCCTCCCAGAGTGCTGGGAGACTATAGTCATGCAGCACCACACCTGGCAACGGGTTAGACATTTATTGTCTCCATCTGACTGACTAAAGCTGCACAGCTGCTGAGCAGCAAAGCTGGGATCTGAGCAGCAGAGCTGGGGCCGGACTACCCTCTCCCTGTGAAGTGTTTGTTGAGTGACTGCAGGACAGGAGTAAACTTCCCCCCTTCTCCCTAGCCCAGCCCCAGAGCCGCGCAGAAGCCCAGGAGGTCACGCTCAGCCTGGATCCCGTGCCTGTGGCCCGCTGCGTTTCCATGGGGGGCCGCCCACCTGCGAGGATCACCTGGATCTCAGCCCTGGAAGGGGAGGCCAGAGACAGCCAGGAGCCAGGGCCCCAGCCGGGCACAGTCACCGTCACCAGCCGCTACACCATGGTGCCCCTGGGCCGAACGGACGGTGTCAAAATCACCTGCAAAGTGGAGCACGAGAGCTTCCAGGAGCCAGTGCTGCTGCCTGTGACCCTCTCCGTGCGCTGTGAGTGCACCAGGTGACCCCACAGCACCCTTAGTGTCCCCGCTGTCCCCAGACATGGTCTGCACGGCTCTCTGGAGCCACGTTCTGCCCTGCCTCCTTGCCTGGTGTCCACACCGGCTCCCTCAGGCAGCGTCTACACACCTCCCCCTCGTTGTCTACACTCACTTGGCTGGCTTCTGCCACGCTGCCCCATCACTGCTCAGCTGAGATGAGCCTCACAAGAGCCACTGCAGCCAGGCCTGGTGGCGCACAGCTGTGATCCTAGCACCTGGGAGGCTAAGGCAGGAGGGTCCTGAGTTCAAACCCAGCCTGGGCCACATAGCGGGACCCGGTTTCAAAAACAAAACAAAAAGAGCCAGTTTGCAACATTTCTTCCTAATTCTGCATCCAGCCACATCTTGCTGGTAGCTTGACGCTGGTGGGGGGTTCATGACCCCTAGGAAAGGAGCAGACACTGCCTGTCAGGCTCCTCCTCAGCAGCACACGGCTTCCTCCAGGAACTTCCTGTGAAAACACCCCATATTGTCATCCCCAGGCCACCTCCCAGCACTGTTTCGTTTTTTTGATACTGGGGATCAAACCCAGGGGCAGTTGACCACTGAGCTACATCCCCAGCCCTGTTTATTTTTTATTTTGAAACAGTGTCTCACAATGTTGCCTAGGCTGGGCTCAAATTTGCCATCCTCCTGCCTCAGCCTCCCAGTTAGCTAGGAATGCAGCCATGCGACTCCACACCTGGCCTCCCAGCGCTCTTCACTGGGAGCCTGGTGAGGGTGAACTGTGTCAGGCACCACCACAGTTGATCCCTTTGTGCACACTGAGGCCCCAAGCCTGGTCCACACTGGCTCCCTCAGGCCGTTTTCACTTTGTGCAGTACACGTGACTGGCTCCCGAGCCTCGTCTATACTGATTTCCTCTCAGAATCTATACTGGTTGCCAGACACTTGTTTGAAATCCTCCTTGCCATATCCTCTACTCTGGGCACATCACAGATAACACACACCTCCACAGTCACACACACAGACCAACTCTCAACTCTGCGCCCCCTAAGTGATAACACCCTAAAAGTTGGCCACACTGGCCAGGTGTGGTGGTGCATCCCTGGGAGCCTGAGGCAGGAGGATGGGAAGCCCAAACCAGCTAGGCAACTTAGGAACTTGGTGAGACCTTCTCTCAAAGTAAAAAATAAAAAAGGGCTGGGGCTGTAGTGAAGTGTGAAGGCCCTAGTTCAACCCCCACACTGCAAAAACAAACATACAAAAGGAGATGCCTGGAGTGGCTTTCCTGGACAGGGTCTACCCTGTCTCAGCACACAGCGTGCACCAGCTCGCCTCAGACCATTTCATCCAGTGGGCTTCCGGCCACCCACCATGTTTTAGAATTCCTGTCCAGCAGCTGAGCTGGCCGGCCCACGGGGATTCTCCATCCCTGAGCCCACGTGTCCGTTCCCTCCAGACCCGCCTGAGGTGTCCATTTCTGGCTATGATGACAACTGGTACCTCGGCCGCAGTGAGGCTACCCTGAACTGTGATGTCCGCAGCAACCCAGAGCCCACAGGCTATGACTGGAGCACGTGAGTACAAGGGACTAGAATGAGAGCCTGAGGGAGAAGGGGCCAGGATTCCTGGCCTCAGGAGGATTCCTGGGCCTCAGAAAGGAGGATTAGAGGTTTCAGATTCCTTCTTCTCAAGCTCCTAGATCTGAGGAAGAAGGAACTTGGGCTAGGACCCCCAGATCTGAGGGAAGAGGGCTGGACCTGGACACCCCCCCACCCCGCCCGGGTCTGAGGGAGGAGGATGGGCCTGGATCTTAGGTCTGAGGGAGGACGGCTGGCATCTAATGTCTCCAGGGTGAGTACAGGCCCTGGCACTGGGCTCCAAGCATGTGTCATCAGGATTGGCCTCTTCCCCTTTGTGGACCCTTCTGTCCCCTTCACCCCACACCCAGGCCTTCAGGCATCTTCCCAGCCTCCGCAGTGGTCAAGGGCCCCCAGCTGCTTGTCCACTCAGTGGACCGACTGATCAACACCACCTTCATCTGCACGGTCACCAACGCTGTGGGCATGGGCCGCGCTGAGCAGGTCATCTTGGTCCGAGGTAAGCGGGTTGGGGCCGAATGTGCAAAGCCCAGTCTGCCCCCGGTCATCTCCCCTTGAAGCTGGGCCACACTGAATAAAAAGGGACTGTGACCACCTTGCTGACAGAGGAGCATGGTGCCCCTTCCTCCCTTGGCCCCAGGCTGGGACTGGACTCAGGTGCCAGGGCAGGATTAGCACTGGAGTTAAGAGGTCGAGGCCTGTGCTGGGCCTGCAGGGAGAATCTCGGGACACTAAACTACCTGCCCCAGTCACAGGGCCTGAGAGACAGAAACCCTCACCTCTTCACACCCCACTCAGAAACTCAGATGAGCCCCGAGTCACGGAGGTGGGGAGGACAGGCAGGAACTGGCCTGGGCCCACGATGGAAACAGGGTCCAATCCCAAGCATGGGGCCAGGCACCTGCTGGGACGCAGCACTTTCACGGCTCCCGTGATGTATGGCCCCCGAGCTGGGCATAGTGAGCCCTGGGTCAGAAACAGCCAGCAGGACCCGATCCAAGAGACACCACCAGGGTGGAGAGTTCTGACACAGAGAAGCGTGGGAATCCAGACAGACTGGACTGATGTAACCCTACACACACAGACCATTGTCACCAAGGCACACACCCAGGAGAGGGCGGCTCCGCCCAAGACACACGGAACAAAGCAGGTGACACTGGCCAGAGCCCAGGAGAGCCACACAAACCTAGAAAGAGCCATTCTCAGTACAGCCTCAAGGGCGACCAAGAACCCTGCCCTCATGGGCGTGTGGGAACACAGCCCCAGAAATGGCACCCCCACAGGCGGAAACAGTGCTCCTCAGAGCCCAGCCATGGGCCAGAGACCCAGGCTACCGGGAAACAGCCTCAGGACACCGATCCTCAGTCCCAGGCACATACAGATCCAGATGCACGCACTGTCACTAAGATGCAATTAGGGCCCACACTGGGAAAAACATAGGCCCACATCTGTGCCAGGGGACAGATGTCTCTTCAGGGAGCTCAGCACAGACCCTTGAGCAGACTCAGACCGTAGGTCCAAAGCAGCACCTCCTAGCAGGAAGTCTGCAGGAGTTGCTGACTCAGATTCGCACTAAGAAACCTGTTTCCCAGCTTGAACTGGATGTAGGTGTAGGCAGTGAACTTCTGTGTCATTGTGGACTGGACTTTTCCTTTCTTCTTATAAGACAGCATCTTGCTATGGAGTTTAGGCTGGTCTTGAACTCCGTATGTAGCCAAGCTGGCCTCAAATTCACTGTGACTCTCCTGCATCAGCCTCCTGAGTGCTGGGGTTATAGGTGTGCACTGGCCACAGAGGGACTGGACCTTTTCCAAGATGGTATTTGCATAAACCCCCACACTCCTCCTCCTGTGGGTTCTAAGTTATCTTCAGATGATTTCCCAGACCTAATGCAGTGTAGCTGCTGTGTAAATAGGTGGTATTCGGTATTGCTTAGGAACAAAATCTATACATTTCCATACAGAAATATTCTTGATCCAGAGGGTGTAGAAGGCCCGGTTTATGCCCCCCCTACACACACACCCCAGGCTAAAGTTTCTGTCCTCTTTTTTTTTTTTTTTTTTTAAGCTGTTTGAGAACCACCAAACAGATCTGGCAGCATGCTGGATCATGAGTCCTTATTTGAAAACCACACTGCCAGGCCAGAGGTGTAGCCTGGGGCAGAGACCTCGCCTAGCAGGCAGCAGGCACCAGGCCCTGGGTTCCATCCCAGCATAACCAAAAAAAAAAAAAAAAAAAGTTGAAACCATCGTTCTAAAAAAGGTATACTCGGGGCCAGGGATTTAGCTCAGTGGTTCCACCCCTTGCCTCCCAAGCGCAAGGACCAGAGTTCAATCCCTGGTACCAAAAATAAATAAATAAATAAATAAGGTATACTGTAGAAAATGGTTCGAGCTTCTAATCCCAACTACTTGGGAAGGCTGAGGCAGGAGGATCACTTGAATTCAGGAGTTCAAGACCAGCCTGGGCAACATAGCAAGACCCTGTCCCCAAACAATATACATAAATAATTTTTTTTAGTACCAGGGATCATAAATAAATTTGAAAAAGAAAGGAATGACCAGAAAAGGAGGTCCTCAGGAGCCGAGTTGAAGCCCCCAGGTCTCCCATCACACAGTGGTGGGGGTGGTGAGAAGCTCCAGAGTAGCACTGTGGAGGGCGGAGCTCACTCCTGTCTTGGCCACCCTGTCCCTCCTGGCACTCCCTGGTCTCCTCTCTGCCTCCCCACGCCGCCACCCACACAGCCGCTGCAGGGGAAATCAGGTCACCAAGGCCAGAGAGGAGGCAGGGAAGCTGCACACAACGCTGTGTCCTGCCCTGGACGTGAGAGGCCCCGCCCTCAGTGTGCCGAGAGCTGCAGCCCAGCTGGGCCCCTGGCCCAGGCATCTGTGAGGACTTTGACCTCCAGAGTGGACACAGGGAGGGGGGTGACAGCTCGCCCTGCCCTTCAGTCATCTGCGGAGAGGAGTCCCGCATTGCCCGACCTGATGTTTTCCCCTTCTTAAGAGAAATCTGAAGCCAGGCTCCATGTGGCCCCGCCTGTAACCCCAGCACTCTGGGAGTCTGAGGCGAGAGGCTGCAACTTGAAGGCCAGGCTGGAAAACTTAGCAAAAACCAACTAAAAATACGAAAGGGCTGGGCTCAGTGGTAAGGCCCTGGGTTCAGTCCCTCGTACCACACACAAATCTGAATTTTGTTTTTTGTTTTTGTTTTGGAATTCTTTTGGTACAGGGTTTGAACTCAGGGATTCACGCCTGCCAGACAGACGCTGCACCACTGAGCTACATTCCCAGCCCATGAATCTGAATTTTTTTTTTTTGGTACCAGGGATCAAACTCAGGACCTTGCACTTGTGAGGCAGGCGGTGGAACCACTGAGCTAAATCCCCAGCCCTACCAATCTGAATTTTGAAGTGAAATTGCCTGATTTTTGAAATGTTGGCCAGCAATTGCAATTTTTTTTCTTTTTTGCGGAGCTGGGGATGGGACCCAGGGCCCCACGCATCCTAGGAAAGCGCTGTGCCTGAGCCCCAGCCTTGGTGCAGCCGTCAGAATTGAGGGCCAGAGCAGGTGCAGCTCCGCACCTGGAAGCCCTGCTCTGTGGGCCCAGCCTGAAGGGAGGGGTCGGTTGGCTGTGGTGCACCGCCCCCTCCCCTACTCTTCTCCCAGTCAGTCCCCTTGCTCATTCTGTCACTCACCCCCGGTCCTGTGTGCTTCACCCTGTACGCCCTCTTGACCTGTCTCTCTCTTCCTCCTCTCTCCTCAGACACCCCCCAGGCCTCTTCCCGAGACGTGGGTCCGCTGGTGTGGGGGGCTGTGGGGGGGACACTGCTGGTGTTGCTCCTCCTGGCTGGGGGGTCCGTCGCCTTCCTCCTGCTGAGGAGGAGGAGGAGGAGGAAGAGCCCTGGAGGAGGAACAGGAGGAGGCGGTGGCGGTGGCCATGACAGCGACAGGGGATCGTATGATGCGAAAACTCAGGTGTTTGGGAATGGAGGCCCCGTGTTCTGGACGCCCACAGACCCTGGTCCCTTGAGGCCGGATGGCAGGGAGGAGGAGGAAGAGGAAGAGGAGGAAGAAGAGAAGCCAGAAGAAGGCCTCATGTTGCCTCCACCCTCCTCACTCAAGGACGACATGGAGTCCCACCTGGACGGCTCCCTCATCTCCCGGCGGGCGGTTTACGTGTGACCCAGGGACACTGGATGGACTGCAACACGGCCTCCTGCCCCACCCGCGGCCCGGGAGGGCTGCAGACTGGTTGGACGGGTCTGTCTGGCCGGCCAGCCAGGGCTGGCCAGCTGGATGCCACCTCCTGCTCTCGGACCGAGGGAGGTGGAGTCACACACTGGACTTCTCCACCTCCAGGGCTGCATGGGAAGTGGGAGCTCAGGCAGACAGGGACCAGAGGGGACCCTGAGAGACTCGTTTGTGCCCCCAGCCTGCCCTTGGCCCTGTGGCACTCAGGAGTTAATAAATGCCTTGGAAGAAAACCTTGGGGTGTCTTGTAATACATCAGACCCCCTCTCTTCGGGTCTTGGGAAAGAACAGGCGGGGCAGGGACTATTAGGGATGGGGAAGAATGAAGAACCCAACTGGGCCTCTACCCGGGACTGGGGTGTCTGGCCCCCGGGGCCCAGGGCAGGTGCAGTGCTCAGACAGGTGGGAGCCCTGGATTCTCCAGGGAGAACAAGGTACCCCGACTTAGGCCCCTGCAGTGGGGGTGACAGGCTAGGCCCCTGCTTTCTGGGAACAGCAGCAAGGCCAGACCTCTAGGTTGCTGAGGACCTTGGGGAGGGAGGGCTGCTCACCCTGCTGAATTCTTGGGGTGTGGGACAGGTATGGGTGCCAGGGATGCAGGGAGAGGCCCCCTTTGTCATTCAGTGGCCCCTCCCAGCCTCCCTTCTCCCCCTTGCGCCAAGCCTCAGGGGATTGTGGGTGATTTCAGGCACCTCCCCACTTCTCCCAGCTTCAGAACTAAGGACCAGGAGGGGCGCCTTAGGGAGAAGGAAGAACTGGCTTTGACCCTCCCAAGCCTCTGGTCCTGAGCCTGGTGGGGAGGCACCTTTGATCCACCTTAAACTGAGGGTGCCCTGGGGGGATTTCATTCGGTGGGTGCCTCCAGAATCCCAGGAACTTCAGCCCCAGGGGTGGATCGTGCATTTCTTCAGCCACTGACTTCCACGGACGAGCTGCAACACGCCAAGCTGGGGACCAGGTGGTAACCCTGATGGATCTAGCAGTGCCTTCTCTGCCAGTGGCAGCTACAACAACAGGAAGAGAGAGACCTATCTCCAGGATGACGGTGTGTGAGAACCGAGCACCTTTGCTCTGGAACCCCAGCAGTCTGAAGCCCTCGAGAGGAAGGAAGCCGGCTAGGGGCCCAAAGCTGGAAATGGGGTGCAGACAGCATCTCCTGGGGAGCTTCCTCTCCTGCCTGGATGGTGGGGTGGTGTCAGGGGCCCCTGGGGCCTCTCCCACTCCTGCACTTACCATCCCCTGGCTGGGAGGCAGGGCTTGGGTGGCTCATCCATCTGATGCAGTCCATCCCTGACCCTCAGACATCTAGCAAAAGCCTACTGTGTGCATGGCCTGAGCAAGTACGCAGGTAATTGCTCCCCAGGAGAGGCAGGAGTGAGAGTGCAAACCGGAAATAGGAGGTGCTACAGAGGAGAGGCCAGCAGTGAGCCCTCCACTCCTCCTCCTGTCAGTCTGGGGGAGACACCCCAAGCCCTATCGTGATGAGGGGCTCTGTTTTCTCCGGCCAGACTCCTCCGATTCTCCACCTTTTAGCTAACCCTCCAGCCCCTCCCTTCATCTCCTGCCTCTTCACTGCCCCAGCCCCATGCTTTCCTTTTTCCTTGCAAACCCCATGAGGCTGCCTCAGGACCCTGGCACCGGCTGTGCCCTCTGTCTGTGACATTCACAGCTCTCTCCTGCATCTGCCTCGGGTCTCTGACCAAATGTCCCCACACAGCAAGCCCTGTCTACCTTTGGGGGTCTGCACTTTCTTATCTCCCTCCCCACTTTGTTTTTATCCTTTATCACTGACTCCCACCTGGTAGGTCAGATGTCCCATTTGTTTGTTTGCTCTCGGCCTCCCTGGCCCCAGCACCTCAATTCCATGAGGCTCACCACTCAGTCTCCCATGCCCCATGCTCCTCGAGGATTAGTTGAATGGGAGAGGAGGTAGGCAGGTGAGGGTGACTTAGGGGTGGGGCTGGGAGTGAGGCGCTTCCTGCCCAAGACCCCTCACACTGTGGTTGTCCTTGCAGAGACGGCCAACACGGCAGGTGCGGGCGCCACCGGAGGCATCATCGGGGGCATCATTGCAGCCATCATTGCTACCTCGGTGGCTGCCACAGCTGTCCTCATCTGCCGGCAGCAGCGGAAAGAGCAGAGGCTGCAGGCGGCTGAGGAGGAGGATGAGTGAGTGACAGTGACGGGTCCTGGGCAGTGGCTGGGAAGAGGTGGCAGAATTGGAGGCCCCTTGGGGGAGAATGGAGAAAATCATGCATAATGGCTGTGGGAACCAAACAGCCAAATAACGAGGCTGAAATGGGATTGGGAGGAAAGGCTTTTCCTCCCATAAAGTACAACTGTGACAGCTGTGCCCTGGGAAGCCATCAGAAGCCAGGCTCCTTTGAGTTTGATGGCCGGGGATTTAGCTCAGTGGCAAAGCGCCTGCCTTACAAGTGCAAGGTCCTGAGTTCGATCCCTGGTACCAAACAAAAAAAAAAAGATAGGGTGAACAGAAGCCAGGCTCCTGCTGCCTGTGGCGTGCCTTCCCTAGAAGATGGCCTCATTCACACTCCAAGATGGTGTCCACTCTTCCCTCAAGCTCTGCGCATGAGATAACTCGACAGGGCCATCCTGTCTTATCACCTGCACACCCAGGGTGGAAAGGGAAGAGGCACCTGAGAAGCTACCCATTACTTCTTCTCACTTCCCTTCAGCCACGACCTAGTCACATGGTTATCCCAGTTTCAAGGTTTTTGGTTTGGTTTGGGGTTTTTTTGGTACAGGGATCAAAACTCAGGATCTTGCACTTGTGAGGTAGGCTGCGGAACCACTGAGCTAAATCCCCGGCTGCCTTTTTTTTTCTTTTTTGGTTTTGGGTTGTTTTTGTTTTTGTTTTTTTGTACCGGGAATGGAACTCGGGACCTTGCAGATTCGAGGCTGGCAGCAGCACCACTGAGCTAAATCCCCGGCCCTGGTTTGGGTATTTTTTTTCTTTTTTTCTTACTTCTTTTTTTTTTTTTTTGGTGGTACCGGGGATTGAACTTGGGACCTTGCGCTTTCAAGGCAGGCTGCAGAAAGCACTGAGCTAAATCCCCAGCTCCTTTTTTTTTTTTTTTTTTTTTTGGTACCAGGGATTGAATTCGGGTCCTTGCACTTGCAAGGCAAGCGGTGGAACCACTGAGCTAAATCCCCAGCCCCTGGTTTGGGGTTTTTGAGACAGGGTCTCGGTGTGTAGCCCAGGCTGGCCTCAAATCCACAGTGATCCTGCTGCCTCGGCCTCCCAGAGTGCTGAGATTACAGGCATGGGCTACCACGCCCAGTGGGAAATGTAGTTGTTATTCTGTGTGCCCATGTGCCTGGCTAAAATCTCCACTACTATGAGAAGCGGGGAGAAAGTGTTGGAGGAATCTAGCCACACCTCTCTGTAGGGTGCTTATGGGCTAGACTTGATGAGACACATTCTATATGTGTGACCGCAAGGAGGTCTCACAGCCATTCACTGATTCAACAAGGATTCAGAAGTACTGGGCCTGGAAGTCAGGGACACAAAGATCAGACAAACATTCAAAAGAAAATAAGTGACAGCTGGATGTGGTGGCATACGCCTATAATGCCAGTACTGGGAGGCTGAGGCAGGCAGATTTATCAAGACCCTGTCTCGAAATGAAAAGGACTGGGGATGTAACTCAGTGTGAAGGCCTTTGGTTCAATCCTCAGTATGGAAAGGAAGATGAAAGGGAAGCAGGAGGGGAGAAAAAGAAGAGAGGAGAGGCAGAGAGGGGAGAAGGAAGGGTCCACACAAGTATATGTATCATGAAAGCCTAAGTTCTGAGAAGGAACTAACAGTACCCACGTTATAAGAAGAAACAGGCACAGAGAGCTGAAATCTCTTGCTCAAATTCATCCAACCAGTGTTTTTATGTTTGTTTGTTTTGTGTTCAGATCTTTCTCAAATAACACCCTTGTCGGGGTGGGGGGCACCTTCCTGGGCCTGTCCCCAGATGAATCAGTCTGTATGTATAACAGGTTCCCACCTATAATCCTAGCTACTCTGGAGGCTGAGGCAGGAGGATTCCAAGTTCAACAGCATGGGCAACTTACCAACATCTTGCCTCAATTTTTTTTTTGGTACTGGGGATCGAACTCGGGTCCTTGCGCTTGTGCAGCAGGCGGCGAAACCACTGAGCTAAATCCCCGGCCCTTGCCTCAATTTTTTAAAAATACAAATAAAAAAGGGCTGGGGATACAGCTCAGTGGTAGAATACTTGGCCTCACAAGTGTGAGGCTCTGGGGTTTCATTACCAGTGCAGGAGGGTGTAGGCCTAAAGGGTGCCTGACATGGAGGAGACAGCACCAGCCCAGCATGGCCATTAGGGGGCTCTGAGAGGCCAGGTGGGGCCCGTGACCCTGCCTGGAGGGACAGAGGCGACAAGGGGGCTGAGTGAAGGCACAGTTAAGTGGTTCTGTCTCCCGGTGCTGTGGTCTCTGAGGGTGCAGAATGAGGGACTTTAGCCTGGGCAGGAGCGCTGTACTGTTACTCATTAACAAGTGACCTCTGATGGCATCCTTCAAAGGGGGTTCTGGGGTCTCACTCTTCCTCACAGCCGACCCTGTAACTCAACAATATTATTACAAACAGCATCCCCCGAGGGGCTGGAGTGACTGGAGTTCCTGATCCATCTAGAGAATCTGGGCCGGCTTCCTGGGAGGAGAGGGATGAGTAGGAATTTGCTATGCTGGAGGCGGGGCCATAGAAAGGGGGATCCCTAATGGGCAGAGTGGGAAGGCATTCTTGGGATGCAGCCTCCTCTTCACCTACCTCCTACCCCATAGCCTGGAAGGACCGCCCTCCTACCAGCCCCCGACCCCGAAGGCAAAGGCAAAGCTGGAAGAGCACGAGATGGTGAGCACTTCCCCCAGGCCCAAGCGCCACACTTTCCTTTGGGGGGGGGGCCTCCCAGGAGAGGCCAGTGGGGCATCTTGACCTGCTCTCCCCCTCCTGCCTCAGTCCTCGCAGCTCTTCACTTTGGGAGCCTCAGAGCACAGCCCACTCAAGACCCCTTATTTTGATGCTGGTGTCTCATGTGCTGAGCAGGTAGGAGCTCTGGGAATAGGGGGGAGGGGGAGTTCAGAGCCAAGGTTGAAGGGCGGAGCCTCAGAGAACAAAGGTCACCCTCAAGGTTGGCCCTCAGAACACTAGGATGTGTTCAGGATTCAGGGTAGAAGACCAGGAACAAAAATTCCAAGGACAAGAGGTTAAAGCCACTGGGTCTGGGAAGATAAGTGTAGCAATGACACATGTCAGCTCCTGAGCCTGGAGATGGGAAGACAGAACAGACTTACCACTGAAGGTCAGGGCTCAGATACTCAGGGTGAGACAGGTCTTGGTTCAAGGGGCTATTTACGGTTCAAAGTTAAAGAGTTGAAGTCAAGATTGAGATCAGAGGTTCATTAGGTAAAAGACTTGGGGATCAACAACAAAGGTATGGCCCAGGAATGACAGACGGGGTAAAGTCCATGATCTGGGCTTTGGGTGAGAGACAGTTTGTATGGCTGTCCCAGTGCAGTATTGATTCAGGGTAGAAGGATGACAGACGGGTAAGGTTGGGTAAGATTGACACGCAGAGGGTGTGCCCAAGGGCAGCTTGGGGCTGTGTCATACTCAGGAGATGAACTTGAGTCCCTCTCCCCGCCTCCAGGAAATGCCTCGATACCATGAGTTGCCCACCTTGGAAGAGAAGCCAGGGCCTCTGCTGCTGGGGGCCACAAGCCTAGGGCCCCCCATTGGGGTGCCTCTGGGGCCACCTGGCATGGAAGGGGTTTCCCTGGATCTCGAAGACGAAGAGGAAGAGACGGAGGAAAACTATCTGGACAAGATCAACCCCATCTATGACGCCCTGTCCCATAACAGCCCCTCTGATTCCTACCAGGACAAAGGCTTTATTGTATCCCGGGCCATGTATGTGTGAGGGCCCTGGCCTCTCACCTGTCACCTTCAACCCCTTATATTTAGCCAAGGACCTGGTGTCCCATGTCTTCTGGCCAAGCCACTGTCAGTTAACACATGGGCATTCACCTGTGACTTTTACCGTAGTGTCTCCACCATGACCTCTAACCCACGATCTAGGACCCATAGAAACTTGCCAAGACAGTGGAAGGCTGGTAACTTTATCTCATAAAGCTGCAGATAGGGAGGATGTTTCTGCACAACCTCTGAGCACAAGGACCCCTTTCTCAAACCGTGACAGACCATAATGCTCACCTCTGGCTGGCCCACGTCTCAGCTCCTTCAGACATCTCTAAGACTCCTGACCTCTGATTTGTCCTCGGGCAGTAAGTCCTGACAGGTTTCAAGCACAGGCATTTAGGGATTCTCTGCTGCTCAGACTTGAGCCCTCCAGGTGGCAGAGCCTCTTTGTTTCCTCCCCACCATGCCCCCCAAAGGTGGGAGGGAAGGGGATTCCCAGCCCTCCACAGAGCTTTCCCATCTCCCCCTCCTGCGGGCAGGAGCCTTAAGGTCCAAGCTCTTCCCTGAGCCCCACCATCCCAATTCCTGTGTACAGTGCATAAGCTCCAGCCCAGTGCTAGAGGGACAAGCTCCATGCATGTGCCTTGGCCGCCCAACCTTGAGAGAATTTGCTGTTATTTTGAAGACTACTGAATCCTCTTACCTCTGCCCACTGGGATGAGACCTAATCATACCCCTTGGGGGAAAAGTGGGTTACCTGGGTTGGGGGTGGGGGCTATGATACTGTTTTGTAACCTAGCGTTTCCTACAAAAAATGAGTGTATACTTTGACCAGACCTGTGTCTTCTGTGGGCTGTGAAGAGGGTGGAGGTGGGCTGTGAAGGGACTGAACTGGGTTCCAGAGTTTGGGAATCAGTGAACTAGAAATCAAAATGGATTACAAAAGCAAAATGGACCAGAGGCACAAGGAAAAGGAAAAAAAAAATTAGTGACAGGGTAATAAGCAAAGGTTCATCAACCAAAAGCATGATGGGTAATGGGAGGAGATGGGGAGCATTCCAGGGTATGCATGGTGGTAACGAAAAGGGATTTGTGCAACAAGTCTAATAGGCAATGCATAGAATTAAATGTAACAGATGATTAGGTAAGAGGATCTCAGATTTAATAGATAATGGCAAGTAGGGATAGGATAAAGGCAAAATTATGCATAATGTTTTAATAGGAGCCAAAGGCATGGTGGGTAATATATCTGAAAGAACAAGCCAGAGGCACAGCGATGAATAATGGAGAAACGGGCCGCGAGCATGATGGGTAATGGCCAGAGTTAATGGACCCGAAGCATGACACTTAATTAGAGAAAGTCCGGGAAAATGATGAGCTGAGGCGGCAGCAAAGGGCTAAAGGCAGTTCAGACAATGAAGCCGAAATGAATGGGGCAAATGCATGCTGGGAAATGGGACAGGAATGAATGGGCCAGATATAGAAGCCGCAGTGACGCGGGGAGCCGACGGTATGATGGGTAACGAAGGGGTGGGTCTAAGGCTACAGTTGCGTTGAGGTAATGAGGGCATTGTGGGTAACGAGAAGCAGAGCAGAGTTCACAGAATTGATTAGCCTTTTCCCGAGGCACTGTGGGAAAACGCAGCACTTCCGGTTTTCGATCCGGACTAGAGACGGTGCCCCCTCCGCCGCGATGCTTGGTGGGACGCGAGGCCTGACCTTGCTGCCTAGCAGCCTCTACGGTGCAACCCATATTTACCCGTGTCCTTCGACCCTGGCACATTAGCCAATAGAGAACAGGCTAATACGTCACCAAAATTGACCCCTCTACAACCCAGAGCCAATAAGGATGCTTCAAGGGCCAAACAGACCACTTATCTCGGCGTTCGTCACGGGGCGGAGTCAAAAGCGAGGACTCCTTCAGGAAGGGGCAGGGCTTCGCGTCAATGGGCGTTGCAAAGTGCTCCGCACAGGCCAATGACGAGCTAGGACCAGAACCCGCGGCACCACGAGCCAATAGGCGAAGGCGCCCCAGCCATAGAAAAGGGAAAGGACCCCTGACTTACCGCTTGCAAGTGGGGACCAATAGAAAAGAAGTTTGAGAGAGATGGGTGGAACTTCCAGCCATGACTCCAATAGAAAGGCCGGGGCCTCAGGGCGGTGGGTGGACTCCAGGACACACTGAACCAATGGGCTAGATAGGGCGGGGCGACAGTGGCAGCGGCGGCAGCAGCGGGTTAGGTTGCGTGCGGCGCACGGGGTGAGAGCGGAGCCCAGGCTGGGAGCAGGCACCGCAGCCAGTGAGAGACGGGGTCCCGAACAGGGCGGGGGCTGCCTAGGGCTGAGCCCGGGGCGAGAAGGGCCTGACCCCCGCCCTCTGACATCTCCTCTCGCAGGCGACCATGGGGAACGTATTGGCTGCTAGCTCGCCGCCCGCAGGCCCGCCGCCGCCGCCTGCTCCAGCCCTCGTGGGGCTGCCGCCGCCTCCGCCCTCGCCGCCCGGCTTTACGTTGCCGCCGCTCGGGGGCGGACTGGGCGCCGGGCCCAGCGCGGGCCGAGGGTCGGAACGGACTCCCGGGACTGCAACCTCCAGCGCCGCTGGGGCCGCTGAGGATGGGGCCTGCGGCTGCCTGCCCAACCCGGGCACATTCGAAGAGTGTCACCGGAAGTGCAAGGGTGAGGGGCGAGGGTCCCGCCAGAGTGTGACGGCCCAGATCTCTTGGGAAGGGGGGACACGGGGGAACCTTAGCAGTCGGCGTGCACCATTGGAATCGTTTAACCGAGCTTTAGGTGTTGACGTTGGGATCGGATGGTGGAATGGCGAGGCTGGGGCTTAGAACTGTGGAATCGAATGGTGCAGTGTCAGGATGGAATGTCACAGCAGTAGAGAAAAGTCTGAGGGAGCTCAGGAGGCCCGCGCTCACTAAGCTCGATTCATGGGTGTGATCAGGAAGGGAACTGATGCCCAAGGTCACAGGGTCAGCAAGGGTCCCAAGAGGGGTGGAACCCAAGGCCTTTGGGTCCTGGCTTGGCATGATTATGACAGCAAGAGTGGTAGGAGCTTATTAATGTGCGCTATTGTGGTATACAGCACGTGTTAAGTCATTAAATCTTCGGATCAGTTTCGTGTGGCGGATCTCCATCTAACACATGATGAGTTTGACTTAAACCACATGGGTCTTGGACTTAGGCAGAGGCCCTGGCCCTGTCCACTAGGCAGTACCTCCCCTGTCTTGTTCGGGATACTTTTGTGAGATGTTCTGTGGATGTGGAGAGAGCTGGGGGTGTGGCCAGGAACGAAGAGGCTTGTGTAGAGTGTGGAGTGTGACAGCGTTTCTCTTCCCTAGAGCTGTTTCCGATTCAGATGGAGGGTGTCAAACTTACAGTCAACAAAGGGTTGAGTAACCATTTTCAGGTGAGCCTTCCCAGTGCCTCCCCTGCATCTGCAGTACAGCCCGAGTCTCCTAAAGGGCCGTGTTCTTTAGTACTTGCAAAGATACAAGGTCAGACTGACTACTTAATGGGGCCAGTGGTAGGGTTTGGGGACCCAGAATCCAGGCGTGCCCTTTACCCCATAACATCCTGAAAGAGTGAAGTGCCAGCTGTCCGATCCACTCCAGCACAACTTTTCTGAGTCTCATAGGCCACACCTCCCAGCTAGGGAGTGGTGTGGCTTCGGTGGAACACAGGGCTTTGCTCATGCTAAGTACTCACTCTGCCACTGAGCTGTGTCGCTAGCCCCACGCTTTCCAGTCTCCATTCCTGCCCAGTCCAGAGACCCCATCTGCCAGCTCAGACTGGCACCTACTCCACAGCCCCTCCTCCTCCTCCTCCCAGGTGAACCACACGGTAGCCCTCAGCACAATTGGGGAGTCCACCTACCACTTCGGGGTCACGTACGTGGGGACAAAGCAGCTGAGTCCCACAGAGGTAGGTTCTTTTGTCGCTCATTGTGTCTTTCTTAGAATAAATATGTAGCCAAACATCCAGCTAAGGAGGCTTCATTGGGAGGTCACTGCTGCTGAGGGCCCTGTGGGCACTGGGGGTTAGGGACAAGGTGTACTGGGCCTCAGGTAATTCCTCCACCGGTGTCCCCTGAACCCCTCCTGTCTGTCTGTCCCTGTGCTGAGTCATGCTGGGGAGACAGGGCAACTGCCACAGCATTGTCACCAGTGAGTACCTGTAGTGGGCAGGCCTGGGCTGAAGATTAGGCAGCTCTCTGGGTGCCAAACTGGGTGTTCACACTTTCTCTAAGGGGCGCTGCAGAGCCATGAACAGATTAGAACAGGAAAGAGATGCTCTCATCTGCTGTACGCTTGACATGTAGACCTCGGGCTGCCCTAAGGAGGGTGGATATTAGAGTGGGATGGGGGCACTGCAGGCCTGGATGGGGAGGGGTGGTGCTGAATTAGGTCCTTCTAATTATTACTGAATTTTTGCTTCCCTTCAATAAATGTCTGCACTCAGCAGATCTTTGCATTGGACCCCTAGTCCATGCCCGGCCTTGTGCTGGGACACAGCAGTGACTGAGATAGCCATGGGACTCACATTTCAGTAGGACGGGACTGTCCTGCTCCTAGAGAGTAAAAACCCAGAGTCGACAGGGTTGTGATGGGGGGGACCCAAAGGCTGTGGGGGCTTCAAGGGGGTGGAGCACACCAGTCAGGGGCCCACCACCTAGGCTGCCACTCACGTCCATAGTGAGACCTCTGACCCTTGACCTCTGACCTGCCCTCTACCCCCCAGGCCTTCCCCGTGCTGGTAGGCGACATGGACAACAGCGGCAGCCTCAACGCTCAGATCATTCACCAGCTGGGCCCCGGCCTCAGGTCCAAGATGGCCATCCAGGTGAGAGGGTGCGCACCCTGCTGCCCCACAGCCCGGCGCCCCACACACACACCCCTCTGCTCACACGGCCCTCCCCTACAGACGCAGCAGTCGAAGTTTGTGAACTGGCAGGTGGACGGGGAGTACCGGGGTTCAGACTTCACCGCAGCTGTCACCCTGGGGAACCCAGACGTCTTGGTGGGTTCAGGTAAGAGGTCAGGTGTGAAGGGCAGTCACAGAACCCCTGTTCCAGCTGTACCCACAGATCCATTCTTTTTTTTTTTTTGGTATCAGGGATGGAACTGAGAACCTTGTGCTTGTGAGGCAGGCATGGTGCCACTGAGCTAAATCCCCGTCCCCCAACAGATCCATTCTGACCTCTTTTCTTCCCTCTGAGAAGTGGCTGAAGTAGGACTGACTTTTTAAAATATGGTAGCGCCAGCACTCTGAGAGGCTGAGGCAGGAGGATCACAAGCTCAATGTGGGCAACTTAGCAAGACCTCAAAATGAAAAATTACAAAAGGGGAGTTCAATCCCCAGTACAAGGAGAAACAAAAGAAAAAGGAAATGGAGCTATGTAGTGTCTGGGGTAAGGACAAGGGTTGGATCCCCAGCCCTGTGCTGTGTGAACTGTGAAGTGGGCCTGTTTCCTGCTCGGTCCAGGCTGCCCACCAGGTCCTGAGTAGGTTAAAGAAGTTCACATGCGCTCCAGGCTTTGTGTGATGTTGGACACATGACGGGCACTGGCTTCCCTCGAGCTGTGGCCAAGGGCCGTTACTCCGGGAGCTGGGGTTATGACGGGGCACAGAGCACATCCCAGGGTTACAGGCCGAACACAGCTGGGGAAGCAGGCAGCCTGGGATGGGGCTGAGGGTTCATGTTTGGGTTCCGTCTGGAATTGTGGTCTCCTTTCAGTTCCTTTTTTTTTTAGTACCCCTTGCAGTACTGGGCATTGAACCCAGAGATGGCTCTACCACTGAGCTATATCCCCAGCCCTTTTCAAAATTTTTATTTGAGAAGATCTCGTTAAGTTCCTCACACTGTGCTAGAATTTATAATCCTCCCATCTCAGCCCTGCACCACCACACCTGGCTCGTCATTATTTTTCCTGTGTTCATTTTTTGAGTATTTACGGAGCATGGACTATATAGTAAGTATTCTAGGCACTGAGAATAAGATGGTTAACAAGAGAGCTAAGTTTGTCCTTGGGGAGCTTCCGTCCTGCCGGACAGACTCAAGTAAAGCAGCACCTGCAGGTGTCAGAGGGGGCTGGTTGGGGCTTGTGGGAGAGCACTGCACAGCACACCTGAGGCCCTGGGTTCCAGCTCCAGCACTGTGCAAGAAAACATGTCAGGGGGCTGGGGATTTAACTCAGTGGTTCCGCCGCCTGCCTCACAAGCACAAGGACCCAAGTTCAATCCCTGGTACCAAAAGAAAAAAGAAAACATGTCAGGCTGGTTGTGGTGGTGCAGGCTTATAATCCCAGCACTTGGGAGGCTGAGGCAGGACTATCACCATTCCATCCCAGTCCAGCCTGGGCAAGTTAGTGACTTAGTGAGACCCTGTCTCAAAAAAAGCGTCTGAGATGTAGCTCAGTGGAAAGGCTCTGGGTTTAGTCCCCAGTAATGTGAAAAGAAAGGGGCTCTGGGAAAAGACTGGGACCTGGGAAGGAGTGGGCAGTCCTGGGAGAAGGCCTCACTCTGCAGGCGACATCTGAACCAAGCCTGAAGGACAGGGAAGGAGCCAGGCGGGTGGCTGGGCAGACAGCTCTTCCGGGTAAGGGAGCGGAAGGGGCAGGGCCTGTAAATGTGTTAGGAGAGGATGGTCACAGGGCCTTTCCTTGAGCAGGGCTGGGGCGGCTCGAGGGTCTGACGGCTTCTGATGAGACTCTTGTGACCCCAGGGGCTTCTGCTCCAAGGGCAGGGAGGAGTGAGGTGCAGGTGGGTTCTCAGCGGAGCTGATGGGCTTTGCTGACAGTTGGGTGTGGAGGATAAGAGAGGAGGTGAGTGACTCCAGAATTCTGGGCCTGGACAACTGGAAGGACACGGAGCCACCAGTCACGGGGTTTGGCTCTGCCCCACCATTTCCTGTCAGCACACAGACTGTCACTGGGTAGCAGAGGCCACCTTCGGTTGTGGAGGGGCCAGGCCCTGAGATAAGCTGAAGAGCACCAATTACTGTTTGGGTTGCATGGGGACAGGCACCTCCTGACTTCTGTCCTCCTGGTCTCTCCCTTGCTGTTCCTGTTTTGTTTTTAAGTGTGTTTTTGTTTTTTGAGACAGTGTCTCACTAGGTAGTTCAGGTTGGCCTTGAACTCACTGTGTAGCCCAGGCTATCACATAGTGATCCTTCTGCCTCAGCCTCCTGGCTGGGATTACAGGCATGTGCCATCACACCTGGTTCTGGGTGTCTTGTCTTTAGCAAGTACTTATTGAGTGTGTACTATCCACACAGTATTGTGCGCACTAAGGGTATAGCGGGAACCAGAGCGCTAAGGCAGGCAGCCCTTGGGGTACTTCATCCAGTGACAGGCACAGCAACTATCTGGCTGTCAGCTGGGGACCATGCCAGCTGGCCGGAGAGTACCTGCCCAGCGGCGTGTGCCATAGCCAGGGCTGTGGGGTAGGCTGGGGGCCTGGGGAGTCCTCACCTCTGGCTAGGGCGTTGTCTCAGGGCACCAGGCAGCGTCCCTCCAGGTGAGGTGGCCCCAGGTGGCATCTTCCACTGTTGCCACCCTTGGCATGGGCAGCCTTCACCCTGGCCTGGCCCTGGCTGAGGGAGCAAGTAGCAGCATCCATGCCAAGCCAAGGCACCTGCTGACCACCCACCCAACAGCTTAGCTGCCGTGTCCACCCCCAGGGCAGGCTCCCAGTGCCCACGGCCACCCTGGCGCTTTGTCCCTCAGATCCCCCAGGCGTCACCTCAAGCCTAACAGAAACAGGCCCTTCCGTGCCGAGCACTCCAGTCACTTGTCAACAAAAACTTCGCCAGCCGCACTGAGCCTCGGTGTCCTCTGTAAGTGGGCACAGTGGGGTCACTGGCCACCTCTTGGCGAAGCAGTCGATGAAAGCTGTCTCTGGCCCTGCATCCGCAGCTGGAAGCATCACTGTGTACTCAGGTTGCCTGATGTCCTGCAGTGGGCAGGACCCTCTGGGTTTCGTGGCCCCCCTTTCACCGAGGAAGGGAGGCCCAGGGTAGGTCAGCCGCACAGGTTGGTTGGGAGCCAAATGTGGCCGGACCCTCGGAGCCTGTGCTGCATCGCTGCCCCAGGTCTTGGCGCCCTGAACGCCCCGCCCAGCCGTGTGCCGTGCCTTATGCAGTATGGGGCTGCCAGGCCAATGGGAGACATTTCCCCTTTTCCCCCCAATATTGGGGATCCAACCCATCTACCACTGAGGTACATCCTCAGCCCGTCCCTATTATCTAGCCCGGGGTGACCTTGAACTTGGGGTTCCCCCTCTGTGGGCCTCCTAAGTAGCTCGGATTACAGATGTGTACTACTGCACTTCGCTAGAGTCATTTGCCCTTTTTTGTTTCTCATTTTTTGAGATTAAAAGTCTCATTGTGTATTGCACACTAGCATTGAACTTGGGCCAATTCTCCTGCCTCAGCCTCTTTTTTTGTTTTTGGTACCGGGGATTGAACTCGGGTCCCTGCACTTGGGCAGCAGGCGGCGAAACCACTGAGCTAAATCCCCAGCCCCTGCCTCAGCCTCTTGATGCTGAAATTACAGGCATGTGCCACCCCGCCTGGCTTTTGTCTTTAAAATCGTATTGATGCAATGTGTTCCTGTTACGAAATCCCACCTGGGACCCAGGGGTGATGACACAGGCCTGTAATCCCAGCTCTCTGGAGCCTGAGGCAGGGTGGCTGCAAGTGGAAGGCCAGCCTGGGCTACATAGCGAGACCTTGTCTCAAAAAAACCAAACAAATCCCACCTGGAAAAAACTGGGGTTGCTGTGAAGACTTTAACAAAGAGGGACAGGGACAGGGACCAGGGACAGCCTCTGTAAAGTGGCAGTGTCCAGAGGGAGGCTTGGGGAGGTGAGGGAAAGATGAAGAGCACATGAAGAAGGCACCACAGGCCAGGCATGGCAGCACGTGCCTGTGATCCCAGGGACTGGTGGCTGAGGCTCGAGGGTCCACGTGCTAGTCCAGCATGAACAACTTAGACCCTATGTCCATTAAATTCATTCATTTTTGGTTTTTGTGAGACAAGGTCTTTAATATACCAGGTTGGCCTTGAACTCATTGTGTAGCCTAGGCTGACCTGGAACTCCCAGCAGTCCTCCCACTTCAGCCTCCAAAGTGCCGAGAGATAGATTGGGGCCGGGGATTTAGCCCAGTGCTTCTGGCGCCTGCCGAGCAAGTGCAAGGTCCCGAGTTTGATCCCCAGTATCAAAAAACAACAACAAAAGTGCTGAGATTATAGGCTGTGTCACCACGCTCAGCTTCAAAGTAAAATTTTTAAAAATGGGCTAGGGGTGCAGCTGAGCACTGGGGGTCAGGAGGTCAGGAGCAAGGCCCGTGGGCCTGGGTACACCTCAGGCAGAGCACGTGTCAGCCTTTGTGAGGCTGGGGTTCCACCCCCAGCACCACAGTAAAGGAGAATGGGGCTCCTGAGCTGGGATGAGCTCCACAGCAGAGAAGGGGGTGCCCTGGGGTTGACTGCTGTGTGCCACAGAACGCTGTTGCTTACCCGCCCCATTGAGGGCTGAGGGGAATCTGCCATTGCAGGTGCCTGCTACGAGGTTACCGTGGGGCCTTTGCGGGTCAGGCCCTCTGTTATCCACTCAGTGCCGTGGCAGTGGTGGCTCCGGGGGTGGCATGCTGGAGGGGAGGGCCAGATCTGGGAAGCACTAGTGCAGGCCAGGGCGAGTGAGGTCGCCTGGGTGGTGGGCTGAGGATGTGGCCCTGCTTTGATGCTGGCCCTGGCCCCAAGTCACACTTGGGGCTTTGCAGCTGCACTGGCGACCCATGGCAGGCTTTGCATCTAAAGTCAGGCCTGTGTTTTAAGCAGATCTCTGCCTATCGGAGGTCCCTTGAAGAGGCCCAGAGATGAGCTAGGGGTGCAGCTCAGTGGGAAGCCGGGTCCTGTTGGTCAGGGTGTCCTGGGCCTCAGTCCAAATACTTACCGTAGCAGGGATCAGAGATTCTAAGCTGACAGCTCCATATCAAGCATAGGTGGCTCCTCAGTCCCCCTCAGCTGGACACAGTGTCCCAGCAGAGCGGTGCTGGTGGGGTTCAGCAAAGAGTTCCCGAGGCAGGGTCTGCGAAGCTGGGGGGAGAAGGGGTTGGTAGCTTGAGCTGGCCAGGCCCTGCAAAGGGACTGTTGGTCCCCTCAGCCCCATCTGGCCCCATCTTTGGGGGTCCCTGCCAGTAGGGTGCCCCTCGTGCATCTTGCACCAGCCGTACTTGTCCTTCTGGCTGGGTGGGTGTCCTGACTGGGGAGCCTTCAGTCTCTGTTTCTTCTTTTGTGCAGTGTGGGGGATGGAACCCCGGGCTGTGTGCATGCCGGGCACGAGCCCTGCTCCTGAGCTGCGGCGCAGCTCTGATTTCCCCCATCTCCCTGTCTCATCTGTGTGTCATTCATTTCCTGTGTCTGTCACTTGCTTCCTCCCTGTTTTTTGAGGCTCCAGACAGTCAAACCAGAATCAGGCCTTGGTCCAGGGGTGGCGTCCCTGCCACTGAGGGGGAGAGGAGCCCTGGCTTGGGCTTCAGTGTGGCCGCCCCAGTGTAGTGAAGTTGTCATTTAGCCTTCATCACAAGCCCAGCAGCAACTGGGCTGTCAGAGAAGTGGCAGGAGGTGGCAGAACTCCAGGGATGGGGCCAGGACTTGGGCCCCAGCTGTTGCCTGGCCACTGTTCCTCCTGACTACTTGCAGCGAACGGTGGCTCAGAGCCCAGACCCTGCCCTCCTATCAGTGGTGGGGAATGGGTGCTGGCTGCTGGGCCATGTAGGGGGGATGAGCTCCCAGCCCCAGGCCTCGCTCCAGGGATGTGAGGGGCCAAGGAGTGGGCGTGGGGCTTCTCCAAGGAGCACACAGCACAGCTGGGCCTGGTGTGAACCAACTGTCTGCCCCCACAGGCATCCTCGTGGCCCACTACCTCCAGAGCATCACACCGTGTCTGGCCCTGGGCGGAGAGCTGGTCTACCACCGGCGGCCCGGGGAGGAGGGGACTGTCATGTCTCTAGCTGGGAAATACACACGTGAGCTGGGCCTGGACCCCTGGGGCTGGGGGGCGGGGAGACTCCAGAGTGTGAGGGTGCAGCCCAGCAGCCCAAGTCCCCATGTGACCTGCCCCTGCCCCCACCCTGTTCTCTTTCAGTAAACAACTGGCTGGCCACAGTGACGTTAGGCCAGGCGGGCATGCATGCAACGTACTACCACAAAGCCAGTGACCAGGTGAGCAGGTGGGGTGATTGGCGATACCTCCCACCCTGGGCTGGCTTGCCCAGAGCCCAGGTGGGCGGCTCACCCCTGGGCCTTGTCCTGGCTTCTCCAGCTGCAGGTGGGCGTGGAGTTCGAGGCCAGCACAAGGATGCAGGATACCAGTGTCTCCTTCGGGTACCAGCTAGACCTGCCCAAGGCCAACCTCCTCTTCAAAGGTAAAGGCCTCAGTTTCCTTGCAGAGAAAATAGATAGGAGGTGACAGAAAACAGCAGTGTGAGGGGCCTTCTGTGGGCCTCTGGGTTGCCCTGGAGACCTTGTCAGGACGTGGGCTGGGGACCCGGCCTGGAGCTCTGGCGGATGTCAGCCAGCAGCCCTCTCCCTTCTCTGTCTCCCACAAATGGAAGGCAACTGGCGAAGCTTCCGACCCAGCCTGCTCATCTCACATTAGGGTAACAGGCTCACAGAGTGTTCACAGCCAGATGCTTCACTGCAGGTGACTCTCCCACCTGGTGGGGCCCCGGTGTTTCAGGTCGGGTGTGTAAAGACCACCACACACCCCCCTTGGTCAGCCAGGCCACGACTCAGCTGCTGCCGAAGCCACTCCCCCTGCCCGCCTCAGGAGGGGCCACCCCTAGAATCTAGTTCTGTCTCCCCAGGGCGTACTCACTCATCGGGCAGGGCTCAGTGGCGATCCTTAGAGGAAATTTCAGTCTGGCAACAACAGATCCTGAGCACTGCTCTGGACCCGGCCTGTTGCTGTGGTGCTGGGGATAGCGGTGACCAGGCCTCCTTGTCCCAGCAGAGGGCCTGGTGGGGGAGATAGTGACTCAGCATGAGCAGGACTTGGGGGCGGGGACCCTGGTCACCAGGACGAGAGCTGGGGCACATCTCATCCTGGCCGCCCCTCCCCCAGGCTCCGTGGACAGCAACTGGATCGTGGGTGCCACACTGGAGAAGAAGCTGCCGCCCCTGCCCCTGACGCTGGCGCTCGGGGCCTTCCTGAACCACCGCAAGAACAAGTTCCAGTGCGGCTTCGGCCTCACCATCGGCTGAGCTTGCGCCTCAGATCCCGCCTCCGCCCTCTCCCCGCGGAGGGCGCCCCAGCCCCCCTCCTTTCCCTCCCTCCTGGGGGTCGGGGGCAGCGGAAAGGAGGGGGCCACCACCACCCAGCTGAGGAAGGGTCCTGGGACCGAGGGTCCTGAGGGCAAGGGGCAGCGAGCCCAGTGGGCCTGGGGTGCCCGAGGGGATTCGGCGTCCAGGAGCGTGGATCCTGAGCACCAGGGCGGAGGCTGCAGCACAACCTCAGGGAGAAGTGGCCTGGCGTCCCGGCCGGCCTGTGGAGCCAGCCCGCCGGCCAGCAAGAGGAGCTCCCCGCCGACAGCCCGTCCCGCCCGCTCTCCCCTCTACTCCTCGGTATAAATCATGTTTATAAGTTATGGAAGAACCGAGACATTTTACAGAAAAAAAGAAAACGAAAAATACAAAAAATATACGTGAAACAAAACAGTGGCAATGGGAGGCCTGCTTTTCTCCAGAGTCCTTGCACATTGCTGCCCAAGCTTCCGACGGTCGCCGGCAGGGGGCGCGGGTATCACAGGACCGGCGCCGGGCGCCCTGGTGGGGGGAGCCTGGCCGGGGATCACAAGGGCGCCCCATGATTTCTGCCCTGCCTAGGGACATCACACGCCTTTCCTCGCCCGAAGAGCGGGCTCCTGAGGTCACTCACCCCTTGGTGACCTGGCCAGAGTGGCTGCAGAGGACTTTGCCCCGGCAAACTGAAGCAAAGGATGACTCAGTGTGGAGATCCCCGGGGGCAGAGCTGACTCTTGGTCCTCAGGTCCCAGGAAAGGCAGGATGTAGAGAGGGGTCTGAGTTTTCAGGAGCTTCAAAAAGGATTCAGGCAATCCGCAGAGCTTCAGGACCATTAAGGGATGGGTGGGGCGGTCCACCCCCACCCCCCCGCCCCGTCCCCCCTCTCGGCTCTGCGGAGTCAGGATTTTTCCGAGTGGGGCTAGATAACCAGGTCCCTGACCGCTCTGCAGACGGGAACTGACACCCTGCCCGGAGTCTGGTGGAGCTGGTGAGCACCGATGACCCCTAGTAACCCCCCGCCTGTGCTCTTCCCGGCAGGGTGCTCTGAGTTCAAGGCAAACACAGGGCCTGGCCCGAGGCCTCCCTGGCCCTGCAGTCTATCGTGCCTGCCCGCTTTTCTTCGTGAGACCTAATCTGGTCCTCCTGCTCCGGCCTCCCAGAATGCTGGGATTACCGCCTTCCGCCACCACGCCCACTGCATTTCACTTTTAATGGATAAAGAAACTGCTCAGAGAGACTGGGCCGCTGTCTGCCCACAGTCGCCCTGCGGGGCTTTGCTGCTTGGAACCCAGAGGAAGGCGCGGCGTGGGCGGCTCCTGGATCCAAGCAGCCCGAGCCAGCAGGGTGCTGAGCTCCCATTTCACAAGTGGGGAATGGGGTTCCCCGAGATGCTCGCCTGAGCCCTAGAGAAAGTGGGGCTGAAACCCACGTCCTCCTCATCCCTTTCCCGTTTTCCTCCCTCTCTCCTGTGTCTGCCCACGACCAGGCCCCTCCCCAGCTGTACTCATCCGCACGAAGGGAGGGCCAGGACACCCCCAGCACGGGGGGGGGGGTCACAATGCCTCCCGCCCCACCCTCCGCCCTCCCCTGCGGGGGGGGGGGGACGGCCGCCTCGTGACAGGGCTGGCCCAGCCCTCCCAGGCCGGTGGAGGGGCGGGGCAGGGGGGAGCCCTATAACTGGAGGAATCCGGGATCCCGCAGCCCTGCTCAGACCCCTGGGAGCCCCTGGACGTCCTTCTGCAGCAGCTGGTGAGAGAAGCCGTCCTGGCGCTGGGACCAGCGAAGGGACCTAGGGACGGGACCCCTTGGGCTCCAGGAAGAGTCGGAAGCAAGGAGGAAAAGGAGGGAAGCTCGGGAGAGCCCCTTGGAACAAGCTAAGAGAGGAAGTGACTGACCTTGGCCTGGGTCAGGACCCATGGGAGCTGGGGAAGGGCCCGGGGCATGGGCGTCTAGTCCGGCTAGAAGGCAGGGTGGGGCCCAGTTGTTGGGTGTGGAGCAAGAATTGGGCACCTACTGGATGCCCCTATCGTCATGAGACCTCCATCACTGATGGCGCAGGGATAGCGAGGATAGAGAGGACTTTTATGCGAGCGTTAAATTGGCCCCTAAATGGAAATTTGCGCTCAGACACCGGCTTGGAGCTTCCAACGCTGGGCAGAGGATCGTGGGGCTGGACCGCGCCGAGCCCGCCCGGCTCCAGAGGGAGCTGGGGTGGGGGAGGAGTGGAATTTGAACCCTGAGAGAAGGAGATGGAATTTTGGCAATAGAGGTGTGGGGGGGGTGTGGAGAAGAGATAGTAGAAGACAAAGAGATTAAGTAGACCCGGGCAGGGAGGGGGACAGCTGGTGTTTTGTGATTGGACTAGGCTGGCCAGTGGGCCAGGTGAGTGTTTGTGATTGGATTAGGGTGGGGCAAGGGCCAGGCGCTGGAGGCGGGGCCGGCTTGGGTGGGCGGAGTCTGCACTGCAGGGATTGACAGTTCCTCCCTCCCCAGGCTGACCAATCGCAGGCGGGAAGATGAAGGCCCTGTGGGCTGTATTGGTGGTCACCCTTCTGGCAGGTATGGGTGGGGCCTGTTCAGGGGCCCTGAGCCTCACTCCACTCCATTGAAGCCCAGGGCCCCTTCTTCCTGTGGCCCATGAGAGGGAGGCCCAAGTCTGAGGCTCCCCACATTCATCAGCTCTGAGCAGCTGTTTTACTCTCTCTGGGCCTCTTTTCCCCACCCATATTGCCTGCCGTTGTCCATGTTACTAGCACCTCCTAAGGCTTTGTTGTCCAGTGTGTAGTGAGTAACTGCCAAGTGTCATCGATGTTGGGTTTTTATTGTCACCCCAGCATAGTCCTGCATGGGACACAGAAAGACAGTATGTGCTTGCTGGGTGTGGTGGCGCACACCTGTGATCCCAGCATTCGGGAGGCTGAGGCAGGAGGATCGCTGAGTCTGAGGTCAGCCTGGCTACATGGTGACTTCAAGGCCCTCCTGGACTACATCTCAAGACCCTGTTTCCAAAGCAAAACGAAATGAAAATACATGCTTGACAAGTGTGATTGCACTCCTCCCCTCCCTTCCCACTAAGGCCTCCAAAAGGCCGAGGGGCACTTGGGGGGCACCTAGCCCGGGTGGAGTCCTGTGTGTAGGACGTGCTCAGGGACCCTGACCCACCCTCGAACTTGCCCCACTAGGATGCCGGGCAGATGTGCAGCCGGAGCTGGAGATGCAGGAGCCAGCCTTGTGGCAGAGCGGACAGCCCTGGGAGCTGGCGCTGGGCCGCTTCTGGGATTACCTGCGCTGGGTGCAGACACTGTCTGACCAGGTGCAGGAGGAGCTGCTCAACTCCCAGGTCACCCAGGAGCTGACGTGAGTGCTGGCGCTGGCCTGGGACCCTCTCGGAGTTCGGTGCCTCTGGGTCTTGCCAAGCTCTGGTTTCTCTTGTCACTATCTCTTGGAGGGAGGGGTCTGGGTTTCGGTCCTTTTCTTCCTCCCTCTTTTCCTTTCCTTTCTTTTATTCCTTCTTTCTTTTTCGGGTACTGAGGACTGAACCCTGGGCCTCTGCAGTGAGCTCCAGCCTTAGCCTTTGGGATTAAACCCAGAGTCTTACAGGCACTAGGCAAATGAGCTACTGCTGAGCCACACCCCAGCCTCACCAGCCCCTTACTTGCAGCCTGGAATCCTCCTCCCTCAGCCTCCCAGAGTGCTGGGATCACAGGAGTGCTCCACCACACCTGGCTTCTGTCCGGTAGCTTTACCCCTCTGTTTCTCTCTGTTTCTGCACCTGTCTGTCACCTTCTGGGCCTCTCCCCTCCCTTCTAGACCTCCTCTGGGTCCCCTTGACCCAGGCCTCACTGCGCCCGCGTCCTCCCTCTGGGTCGCAGGGTGCTGATGGAGGACACCATGAAGGAGGTGAAGGCCTACAAGAACGAGCTGGAGGAAGAACTAGGACCGGTGGCAGAGGACACGAAGGCCCGGCTGTCCAAGGAGCTGCAGGGGGCGCAGGCGCGGCTCAGGGCAGACATGGAGGAGGTGCGCAACCGCCTGGCGCATTACAGCGAAGAGATGCAGGTCATGCTGGGCCAGAGTCCCGACGAGCTGCGCGCCCGCCTGGGCTCGCACCTGCGCAAGCTGCGCAAGCGGCTGCTGCGGGACGCTGAGGACCTGCAAAAGCGCCTGGCTGTGTACAAGGCCGGAGCCCGCGAGGGCGCCGAGCGTGGGGTGAGCGCCATCCGCGAGCGCCTGGGGTCCCTGGTGGAGCAGAGCCGCGTGCGCGCAGCCCTAACGGGCCAACCGCTGCGGGAGCGCGCCCAGGCCTGGGGCGAGCGGCTGCGCGGGCGGCTGGAGGAGGTGGGCGGCCGGGCGCGCGACCGCCTGGACGAGGTGCGCGAGCAGATGGAGGAGGTGCGCGCCAAGGTAGAGGAGCAGGCCGAGGCCTTCCAGGCGCGCCTGAAGGGCTGGTTCGAGCCCATGATGGAAGACATGCGGCGCCAGTGGGCCGATCTCATCGAGAAGGTGCAATTGGCCGTGGGCGCAAGCACCCCCGTGCCCAGCGAGGACCACTGAGCACCCAGCACCCACCCCGACCCACCCCTGCCCCTCGCCAACAGGAGGCGCTGACCCAGCTCCCTGAAGGGCCCTCACTTACTTAATAAAGATTCACTGAGCCTCGCAGCACCCACTGGGCCTCCGAGTATGATTCTTCACGGCTCTGCCTCGGTTTCTCTTTCCTTCCCCACACTGGCCACAGGGTTCCCGGTACTGTGGCCTTCACCTGTGTGTTGGGGGGGGGCGGGGGGCGGGGTCTTCCTGCTTTTGTTTCAGCTCTCGGTTGTGATTACCTCTGTCCCTTTCTAAGTCTTATTTTATTTATTTTTTTATTTTTTTATGGTACTGGGAATTGAACCCAAAGCCTTCCCGCTGAGCTACATTCCCAGTTCGTTCTTTTTTCTTTTTTTTTTTTTTTTGGTACCGGGGATCGAACTCTCGACCTTGAGCTTGTGAGGCAGGGGGAGAATCCTCTGAGCTAAATCCCTGGCCTTTAGTGTTCCCTTAACACCTGCAGCACAGAGTCAATGTGACCCTAAACGCTGGGAAAGCAAAGCCTTGTTATTCCCTCTCCCTCCGCCCGCCCACAGGTGTGCTGGGACTCCGCCTCCTTCCCTCTCCAGGCTCTCTGTCCGCTGCTCCCCTTCAGGCTCATTTTCGGCTCCTGCTTTTTTCTCCCCTGTCTTATCTCTTCCTCCTGCGGTCTTCTTGCCTGGGCCTTGCTTTCTCTTTCTCTTCCCGCTGTCCTTAGTTATCCCCTCCACCACTGCCTCTTTTCTTCCTTCCCCGGGCTTAGCTGGGCATCGCTCCCTCACTCCCTCTGGGCCCCACTTCCTGCCTCACCCTGGTTCTTTGTCTTCAAAGTGTTGTCTACTTTGTTATCTTGTTTTTCTAGACAGTTTTGCTATGTAACCCAGTCTGCCCTTGGGATCCTCCTGTCTCAGCCTTCCAGAAAGCCAAGATAACAGATATGAGCCACCATGCCCTGCTGTTGTCTGCCCCTTCCAGCTGTTGGGTCCGGTGGCCAAGGGGCAGGGAAAACAGGAGTCAGCACCCAGTGGAGGTCAGGCTGAGAGCTGGGCTCAGGGAGGTGGGGGCAGAACCTGGGCGTCCTGCTCATTCCCCTCCCACCCCCTCAGTTCTCAGCCCTGGGCAGGCCGGGGCTTGAGTCTGGGGGCCTGGCCCAGCTCCTGCTGCCTTTGGCACAGCTAAACTCCGAGATTTCCTGGCAAGCTCCAGGCGCCTGCATGGAAGTGGCACCCCTCCCAGAGATGACTCACAGGTCTCCAGACCTAGTGGGCTGATGCCCAGGGCTAGGGCCGTGCCCTCAAGCCTCAATTTTCCCAGTGTCACTGAGGAAGGTAGCTGGTAGCCTCAGCAATTTTTTTTTTTTTTGAGACAGGGTCTCTCTATGTAGTCCAGGCTGGCCTTGAACTCACTGTGTAGCCCAGGTTGGCCTTGAAGTCGCAGGGATCCTCCTGTCTCAGTATCTTTAAGTGCTAAATCTTGAATGCTCCAGAGTAGAGAGGGGGGTGTGTGTGTGTGTGTGTGTGTGTTACTGGGGAATGAACTCAGGGCCTTCACACTGAGCTGCTTCCTCAGACCTTTCTCAAAATTGTTTTATTTTTAAGACAAAGTCTCCCTAAGTTCCCCAGGCTCGACTCAGCCTTTCTGCCTCAGCCTCCCAAGTAGCTAGGATTACAGGCTGCACCACCATGCCCACTGTGAGTGTTGAATTGTAAGCAGACATGGGGTCCACCTTGCAGCAGGCCCAGTCAGACCTCAAGGAGGTGGAAGGGGGCTAGGGAGGGACGTCAGGGACAGGGACTGGCAGAGGGTGCTGTAGGTGGGATGGACAGGGCTGACCCCAGCAGGGAGCCCAAAGAGACAGCCAGGAGTCTGAGAAGTGAGATTACCTCTCACTAATCCCAGAATGTTCTTGTCTGTGACTCAGTTTCCCCATTTATACACCAGAAACCCATGTGGCTGAGGAGGATGAGACTGGCAAAACAGGGGGGTGCCACTCTAGCCTTGTGAGGTCAGGACTTCAGAAGCCAGGTGTGGGGATGCAGGCCTGTAATCTTAGCACTCAGGAGGCTGAGGCAGGAGGATCACCTAAAGTTTGAGGCCAGCCTAGTCTACATAGCGAGTTCAAGCCAGCCTGAATTATTTATCAAGATGCTGTCTCAAAAAAACAAAGAAAAAAATTTAAAAGGACACTGCCTGGATGTCTGGACCGTGCTGGGCTCTGTGGAGAAAGCAGGTCATCCAGCCAGGGGCCCTAAGGGACTGGAAGCTCGGAGCCGGCCCAGGCATGTTGCAATGCTGCCAGGCTGGCGTCTGTGCGATCCTTTTCACAACCACCCTCTACTCCAGAGCTGGCACAGTTGCAGGGTCCCAAGGCCAGCCACCCTCCCCACCAGCTTCGGGGTCACTGTTGGTCAGAGGAAGCCCCTCAGAAGGATATGCTGGTGGGGAGGAGGGTGGGAGCCAGAAAGGGGACGAGAGCAAAGGCAGTGATGGGGCATGGAGGGGGCAGGCGGAGAGGACTGGGTGGGGCTCCCAGCCCGAGGTCTGTGCTATCCTTCTGCACCCCAGACGGGGAAGAGACCCATCCCTGACAGGAAGAAGGGAGACTGGGGGAGGTAAAGTGAAGAGCACAGAGCCCAGGAAAGGGATGTAAAAAGAAGTAAGACCCATTATATACGTCCACCAACTCCCCTGCCCCCATGAAGGGAATCATTAGTAATGCCAATTAATAGAAATGTAAATGAGAAAGAAATAAACCCCAGAACCATGCACAATAATGTGTTCCTGGAATCCCTGGAATCCCAGGAAGCAGAGGCAGGAGGATGGCAAGCTTGAGCTCAGCCTGCACCATTTCGGGAGACCCTCTCTCAAAAAATAAAATATAAAAAAGTGCTGAAGATGGAGCTCAGTGGTAGAGTGTCCCGGGTTCAATCTCCAGTATGGGGAGGGGGGAGGAAAGAAAAAAGTTAGGACCCCCCGGAAAGCGCACAGGGGTGGCACTTCAGGGTATGGGGGCAGGAGGAGGTCCTAGGGTCAGGGGAAGAGTCTGAGCTGAGGGGAGGAAGCCGGGTGCGGCACGGCACACCTGTAACCCCAGCACTCCAGAGGCTGAGGCAGGAGGATCACCATGAGTTCCAAGCTGGCCTAGGCTACACAGTGAGTTCAAGGCCACCCTGCACTACATAAACTACATAGTGAGACTCTGTCTCAAAAATAAAAAGATAGAGGGAAGGGCAGGTGGAAGAGGTGCCCTGGGGACCCAGTGGGAGCTGGGCATGAGACCCATGGGGCTGTCACTGAGAGCCCCAGGACAGGAGAGGGCTAAGGGGGGAGGGGAGGGACTGTCCCTGAGAGGCCCAGCGCCTGGTCAGACCGAGGTCGCAGTCCTGCGGGTGTGAGGAGGGGCTGCGGAGCAGCCGCCTCCGGGAAAGGTCAGGGAAAGGTCAGAGGAGGAAAAGGGGCGTGGGGCGGCTGGCAGGGAGGCTGGGAGGTGGGCCGCCCCGCCCTCTCCCTGCCGATAAAGACCGGCACGCAGCGCCCCCCACGGAGCCGTCCCGTCGCGCACTGGCCAAGGGTCCAGGTGGGTGCTGCGCGCCAGGAGGGTGGGGGTCCCCAAAGAGTGGGCTGGAGGGGCCGCGGTGGGGAGGGGAGCAGCCCACTGACCCTCCTCCGCCCGCCCCCAGAGTGCCCTCTGCAGACATGAGGCTCTTCCTGTCGCTTCCCCTCCTGGGGCTCGTCCTGTTCATGGCTTTGGAAGGTAAGAGTGGGATGTGAGACCCGAAGCCCCAGCCCCTCAGAAGGCCGAGGCGGGAGGATTCCAAATTGGAGCCCAGCCTGGGCAATTTAGTGACCGTGTCTCTAAATAAAATATAAGCCAGGCATGGTGGTGCATGTCTGTAATTCCAGCACGGGGGAGGCTGAGGCTGGAGGATCGCATGGAGTTCAAGTCCAGCCTGGGCTACAGAGGGAGACCCTGCCTCAAAAAAAAAGACTCAAGAAAAAAAAAAAGACTGACATTTCTGTACCCTCTGCTCCTCTCCCGGCAGGCCCAGCCCCGGCGCAGGCGGCCCCAGACTTCACCAGCACCTTGGAGGGGCTCCCCGCCAAGCTGAAGGAGTTTGGGAGCATCCTGGAGGACAAGGCCCTGGCAGCCATCGAGCACATCAAGCAGAGTGAACTTCCTGCCAAGACCCGGTCAGGACCCTTCCCAGGGCCGATGGCGGTGCTGTGGTCCCAGAGCTAGGTCTCAGGGCCCTCAGATACTGGGGTCAGGTTCCCCGACTCCCAGCCGAGCCCCATGGCCCAAGTGGTGCTGGCTGCTGTAGAGACCGTACTGTCCCTGTGCTCTTGAGAAAGGAGCGCCACTGTGAACCTCAGTCTCCTCACCTGTAAAGTGGGTCTCTCAGGAGGACAGGAAAGGAAAAGACCCACACACATGTGCCTGGCAGATTGTAAATGCTCGACCAGGCTGGACTTCAACTCACTCACTATTCGACCCAGACTGGCATCAAACTCACAGTGATCCTCCTGCCTCAGGCTCTGGAATGCTAAGATTATAGGCATCTGCCACCAGCCCCAGCAGGAAGGGACTTTTGGGGGGGCGGCGGCTACAGGGGATGAACTCAGGACCTTGTGCTTGTGAGGCAGGCATGGTGCCACTGAGCTAAACCCCCCAGTCCAGGAAGTGACTTTTAATTTGAGATCTGAATGATTGGGAAAATCCAAGCAGAACTAAACTGAAGAATGGTCCCAGTGGAGGGAAAGTGCAAAGGCCCTGAGGCAAGAAGGGCTTCAGATAAGGAGGACTTGGGCTTCCAGCCAAGAGAGGTTTAGGCAAAGGAGCCCGGCTTTGAGGTGCCCTTGAGGGAGTAGCATGGGCAGGAGCTCCCTCAGAGGGTCAAGAGAGGAGAGGAGTTGGTGCCAAGTGTGATAGTGCGCACCTGGAATCCCAGCTCTCAGGAAGCCCAGGCAAGAGGACTACCACAAGTTTGAGGCCAGCCTGGCATACATAGCAAAACCCTATCTCAAAATGACAAAAAATAAATAAATAAAAAGAAAGAAGATACGGTAGACCTTGAAAGTGGGGATGGGATTTTTAGCATCGGTTGCCCTGGTCCATCCGGGGAAACTGAGGCACAGGAGTCGTCCCACTCGGGGGTCCTCTTCATCCCACAATGGGGACAGAAATCCAGGACAGGGAAGATGAGGGCCTGGGGGGCACCCTGGGGGTGGCCACATGCGGTGACCCCTTCCCCACATCTCCCGACAGGAACTGGTTCTCTGACGCCTTCAGCAAAGTGCAGGAGAAGTTCAAAGCCACCTTCTCCTGAGCACCTGAGGGCAGCACCTAAGGGAGGACTCCTCTGTGATGCCCAGGTCCTCCCCCAATAAAGATCCTACCAAGATTCTGCTGTATGCGCTTCACTTGGGCCGAGAGCATGGGGCCACACCTTAGGGACCCTTGTGGGCACCCCCAGGTGGTTGTTTTGTTTTGTGGTACCGGGGATCGAACTTGGGACCTTGTGCCTACAAGGCAGGCAGCGGCGGAACCACTGAGCTAAACCCCCGGCCCTTGCTTTTGTTTTTTTGAATTGACAGTCTGGCTATGTAGCTCAAGCTGGCTCTGCACTTACGAAGTCACAGTCATCCTCCTGGCTCAGCCTCTCCAGCACTGGGATCACAGGTGTGCGCCACCATGCCCAACTAAAAGGCTGTCTTAACACACTGCATTTCTACAAGCCCATGTGAGAGAGGATGGCACTTCTTTTATTTTTATTTTGGGGAGGTTCACCCTGTGCACTGAGCTGCACCCCAACCCCTCCTAGCTTTTTATCTCCTTTCTGCCAGTGGTTACTGCCCTGGCCTGGCCTGACCACCTAATCAATTTGTCTGCCTGCTGTCTGTCACCCACTAGCACAGGGCAGTTTCCTCCAAGCTGTCTTGTTCCCTGCAGTGCCCCCAAGTCCCTAAAGCAGAGCCTGGCACATAGAAGGTACTCAGTAAACACTCCTTGCAGACTGGGGACAGAGTTCTCTGCTAGAGCCTTTCCCCAGCCCCCCAGCACAGGCCTGGAATCCCAGCTGTCTGGTAGGCTGAGGCAGGAGGATCTCTAGTTCAAGCCCAACCTGGGCAACACAGGGAGCCCCTGTCTCAAAAGAAAAAATGAAAAAAGGGGCTGAGGATGTAGCTCAGGGTAGAGGCCCTGGGTTCAAGCCCAAGTATTGCCAAAAAAAAAAAAAATCCCCAAAACATTGAATCCATGAATGAACCATTCATTCACTTCCCACGGAACAGCTGCAGGGCAGATGTGGATCACACTCACTACCATTCATGAATTCTAACCGCAATTTCCCGTTCCTGAATCGGACTTCACAGCCCACACAGCTGTTTTGGGGTTTGCACAAAGGGCCCCATCACACCAAGGCAGAGCCCCAGACTTACTGCAGTGGAGGTGGCACTCAAAGCCCCACCCTGACGCACACATGCAGAGGCAGCTGGGGAGGAGGACTCTAAAGGGCACCGGCCCAGCCAGGGGTCTCAGAGGGTGCCTAGAGGAGGGGTGATTGGGCTCTAAGTTTTGCTAACTCCAGTTAGCCAAAGAGAATTGCCGAAGCATGTTAGAACTCTACAGTGTTTGATTTGGTTTGGTTTTTTGAGACAGGGTCTCACTATGTAGCCCAGGCTGGCCTTGAAGTTGTGGTGATCCTCCTGCCTCAGCCTCCCAAGTGCTGGGATTACAGGGCTGTGTGTGCCAAGACCCTCTAAGAGCAACGCAGTGTCTTCCATGAATGTTTATTATACAAACATTAACTAACAACTTTGTATAAGAATGGATGAATGGGGCCGAGGATTTAGCTCAGTAGTTCTGGTGCCTGCCTCACAAGCACAGGGTCCCAAGTTCAATTCCCGGTACCAAAAAAATAATAATAGTAACTACTTTATCTGGCTTTTAATGTAAATGTATTGTATACCTAAAATGTACCAATGAAAGAATTTTTTTAAAAAAATGAAATAAATAGGACAAAAAAAGAAAGGATGGATGAATGGAACTGCTTTGGAAAACAATTTAGCAGTTCCTCAATAAATTAAACCACAAGCTGGGTGTGGTGGTGCCACACCTGTGATCCCTGCACACTGGAGGCTGAGGCTGGAAGATCCGAGTTGGAGGCCAGCCTGGAGTATATGGCGAGACCCTTCCTCAGAAAAAAAAAAAAGTTGAAGGAGCTCAGCAAATGGTGAAGCAGTTCCTCTCCTAGGATCCACTCAAAGAGCTGGAAACATCCATGTAGTGCCTTGTACAGGAATTTTCACAACAGTGCTACTCTTCAGAGCAAAATGTAGGATAACCCAGATGCTCACCAGCGGATGACTGGATGAACAAATCCACATAGTGGTACCTGTCTAGTGTATGCATCTAGACAGAGGAATATTATTCAGTCATTATAAAGAAGTATGGCCAGGTTTTTGAGAATGACAAACTGGACACCAGCCAGTAGCCGGGGAGGCTGAGGCAGGAGGGTCACAAGTTTGAGACCAATCTGGACAACTCAGCAACTTAAGACCCTGTTGCAAAATAAAAATAAAATGCCCTGGGGATATAGCTCAGTGCAAAGCCCCTGGGTTCAATCCCAATGCCAGAAAAAAAGAAAACAAGTGTGGACACATGATACCAGAGGGGTGAGTCAGGAAAACCATGCATGGTACGAGAGAGAAGCTGGATTTTGTATGAGTCCATTCTGTGAAAGGTGCCGAACGGGAATCCACAGAGGCAAAAGCAGAGTCATGGCTGCCCACACTGGGGAGGAGGGGAAGAGCCAGGACTGCTAGTGTTTACAGGCTTCCTGTGGGATGATGAGAATGTTCTAGAATTCCGGGTGATGGTTACACAACCTTGCAAATGTACTAGACCCTGGGGAGTTGCACAAAGTGCATGACTTTATTTATGGGTTTTGTAGTGATGGGGATGGAAGCCAGAGTCACACACATGCTAGACAGGCAAGCACTGTACCGCTGAGCTGCATTCCAAGCCCTAAAAGAATGAGCTTTATGGAATATGAATGAGATAAGAAAATGAATGAATAGAAGGAGATCTCCCGGGGGAGAAGGCAGGAGGAGAGGAGCATTTAGCTGAGCATGGTGGTTACGGCTGCTATCCTGGCCCTCTGGGAGGCTGAGGCAGGAGGATTGCAAGATCAAGTCCAGCCTGGACAAATTAGTGACTTAGAAACACCCTGTCTCAAAATAAATAATAAAAAGGGGTGAGGATGCAGCTCAGTGTGAAGTCCTGAATTCAACCCCAGTCTCCCCCAACACACACACCAAAAAAAGAAGACCATTTCAAACTCGTTTTCACCCCGGACTTCCCAGCATAACCCTGGGGAGGCAGATGGTTCAAGAGGCTTCTTAGAGTGTCCTCTTTAGAGACCTCCATAGAAAATGATCAAGGAGAGCCCAGCATGGTGGCACACACCTGTGATCTCAGCACTCGGGAGGCTGAGGCAGGAGGATCCCCATGAGTTTGAGGCCAGCCTGGGCTACAGAGTAAGACCTTGTCTGAAAGAAAAAACAGCACGAAAGAAAATGATGAAGGAGGCATGTATGGGGGTCCTGACTGGGGCCCAGAGGACCGTGGATTCTAGAGGAGAGGAGTGATTTTGGGGTTCGGGGCCGGGCCCTATGACTTAGAGGGTGCAGCCTGCAGGCTCCCAGATGCTCCCTGCCCTTGGATAGACATGGATCTTGGGGTGTACCCTCCCGGCCCCCTATCCTGATGGCCTCGGCTCCCATCCCCCTCTGCTCCACAGTTGTTGTGCTGCCTCTGAGGTCCACCCTGATGACCTTCAGTCTGTCCCTGTCCCTAAGGTGAACAAACATTGCAGGCAGCAAATAGCAAACACCCCACAGCCCTCCCTGTGCCGACCTTGGAGCAGGGGCAGAGGACAGAGACCTCACTACCTCCTGCCTCCCCCTGCCCTCTCGGGTGCTGATGGGGAGGGACAGAGGTTGTCCTGGATTGGCCTGGTGTGTGAGAAGGTGGCTCAAACCCATTGCCGCCCCTGCAGCCTTGCTTTGCTCCTCTGTGGTGTTTTATTTTGTTTTGAGACAAGGTCCAGGCTGGCTGAGAACTCACTGAGATCTTCCTGCCTCGGCCTCCCAAGTGCTGTAATGACAGGTGTGCACCACCATGCCTGGCTTTCATCTATAAAATGGGAACTCAAAGATGCCCATCTCACAGGGCTGTTGGGACCCCCAATGTACACAAGGAGCATAGGGAAGGGAGTGTTAAAGAAAGAACAGCTGACAAACCAGGGTGGTGGCGCACATGTGTTATCCCAGCTACTCAGGAGGCTGAGGCAGGAGAATGGCAAGTTCAAAACTGACCTGGACTTACCTCAAAATTAAAAAGTTAAAGCTGGCCAGGGATTTACCTCAGTGGTTCTGGTGCCTGCCTCACAAGTGCAAGGTCCTGAGTTCGATCTCCAATACCAGGAAAAAAAAAAGTTAAAGGGGTTGAGGATGTAGCTCATGGCAGAGCAGATGCCCGGCACTCGTGAGCCCCAGGGTTCCATCCCTAGCACCAACAAAAAAGAAAAGGAAAAAAAGCAGGAGGTGATGACGGAGCATGCAGGGGCATGCGGGTGTCCTGCTGGCCTTCATCTCCCGAGGCTGCTGCTCAACACAGCATGGCCCTCTTGGCCTTTGCTTCTGGCCACTCGACCTAGAATGTGTAGAATGTGCCGTGGGAGCCTCATTCAGGTGCACAGCTCAGTGGTGTTGACGCCCTCGAGCTGCTATGCAGCCAGCACTGCTTCTACTCCCTGATCGTCTTCATTGTCCCCCACACAAGCTGGCAGCTTCAGTTTGTTTTTGTTTGTTTGTTTGTTTTCATTTTCATGTGATTGATTGATTTTTTTTTTTTGAGATGGGGCCTACCTCTATAGTCCAGGCTGGGCTTGAGCTCACAGGGGTCCTCCTGCCTCGGCCTCCCGAGTGCTGGGATTGCAGGCCAGCATCACCATGCTGGGTGTATTCAATCAATCCCCTCAAATGTGGCTTTTGGTCCCATTGTACAGAGGAGGAGACTGAGGCGGAAAGGGGCTGTCTGGGAAGGTGGAGCTGGGATTCAAGCCTGGTTGGGCAACAGAGCCTCTGTCGTCTCTGACAGCCTCTGTTGTCTGTCAGGCCAGGGGTGGGAGAGTGGTAAGGAGGGAGGCTGCTGGTGGCGTGACCTGTGACTGTCACTGTCGCCTGCGCCCTTCTCGCTAGAGTCCCCGCCAAGGCTGTGGGTGGTGGCCAGGGGGAGGGCTCAGCTCCATGCTGCAGGGCCGCTCCTGAGGCCTGGAGTGCCTGGTGCAGTGGGACAGAGGGACGGAGGCCCCAGAAATGTTGCTTCCGAGACATGGGTCCCAGGCTCTGCCCGCCCTCAGCCTCTGCATCCTGGTCCTGGCCTGTGCTGTGGGTAAGGCTGGGGGGAGGCAGCCGATGTGGGGACCCGCGGGACTGGGGACATGTGAGGTGGGATGAGCTCATGTGCCCGTGGGCCGTGTGCATGTGCCAGCATGTGTCTGGGGGTGAATGTGTCGGGGCTGAGTGTGAAGTGCAAATGTGGGTGGGATTGGGGTGTGTGTGTGTGTGTGTGTGTGTGTGTGTGAGCAGAAGTGTATGCAGTCATAAATGTGTGTGTAGAGAATGTGCGTGTGTGTGCATGCCTCCACACGGGGCACCCGTAGGCACCGTTTGAGTGTGAGGAATCTGTCAGAGTGTCCTGGCTGGTATGAAGGTCTGTGCTTTATATGTGCACTTATTTTTATTTACTTTGTGGGGCCGGGGATTTAGCTCAGTGGTTTTGCTGCATGCTGCGCAAGCGCAAGGACCCGAATTCGATCCCCGGTACCAAAAAAACACACACAAAAAACCTGACATATTTTTATTTACTTTTACTTTTATTTATTTTGAGACAGGGTCTCACTATACAGTTCAGGCTGGCCTTGAACTCACTGTGTAGCCCAGGTTGGCCTAGAACTCACAGAGATCCTCCTGCCTCAGCCTCTGAAGTGCTGGGATTATAGGCATGCACTACCATGCCCGGCTGCACATGCATTTAAAATGTTAGCATGGGCCAGGCTGGTGGTGCACATCTGCAGCCCAGCACCCTGGGAGGCTGAGACAGAAGAAGCACAAGTTTGAGGATCAGCTGGGAGAGGGGGCGTTGGACGGGGAGGGGTGCACTGCAGACTGAGAGAGAGTCACATAGGACAGGAGTGAGGAAGGGCCGGGCACAGGGAAGGACAGGGTGACTGGTGGAAGTAGGAGAGTGGTCAGAGGGATGGCTGAGGAAGGTAGGCACTGGGGGACAGGCAAGGGTTGCCTTGGGGCCCCAGCAGTGACTCAGGGACGGAGGAATGAGGGTCTGAGGCTCCAGGTTGAGCTGCTCTCTGGGCCCACCCAGCACACACATCTGCAGAGGATCCAAGCCCCCGGACAGGCCCGGAGCAGAGCAGCTGGGGCCTGAGCAGGCTGAGGGGGCTGGTGGAGCCCATGGTGACCAAGACCAGAGAGAGGTGGCAGTGGTTCTGGTGAGCGGGTGCTGTGGTGGGTGGGGAGGGCCCGTGACCTGGACCCTGGGTCTGAGCCAGGAGGCTGGGCCTGGAGCCTTTTGTCGCAGGGAGGAAATGTAAATGGGGCAGGACCCCCTGGTGTGGTTGGGGGTCTCAACTGTCCTGTCCCCTCTCCCACAGGGGCCCTGAGGCCTTCCAAGGCTTCATGCAGACCTACTATGATGACCACCTGAAAGACCTGGGTCCCCGCACCCAGGCCTGGCTCATCAGCTCCAAGGACAGGTTCCTGAACAAGACCCTCAGTCTGTGCCCCAGGGTCCTCTGCAGGGACCCCGGCCAGGACTAGCACGCCCTTGCCTCTCACTGCCCACAATAAAGATTTCCTATCTGTGCCAGTCTGGATCCCTCCGCTCTGCCCCCTCCCCATACACACCTAGGGATTCAGGAGTGGAAGAGGTGACACCTGGCTGGGGAGGGACACTAGGGGCTCTGGGAGCAGAATCAGAGAAATCACACAAACAGGCACACACACACACACTGTGGACTTGCAAGGGCAACAAACTTCAAAGCTTCTCAGTGCAGAAGTGATAAGGCCTGCTGGGTGTGGTGGTGCACACCTGTAATCCCAGCAGTTGGGAGGCTGAGGCAGGAGGATCACTGTGAGTTCAAGGGCAGCCTGGACTCCATGGTAAAAACTTGCCTCCAAAAAAAAAAAAAAAGGGATGGGAAGGCTGGAGAGCAGGTAGGGCAACAGGTCCCCAGGGTGTCCCCTCCCTGGTGGGTGCCTGGAACCCCCAACTCCTCTCAGGGTGTACTTACCGAGAGAGGTTCCCTGAGCTTTGGCCTGGAGGGGACATTGGTGTCCCTCCTGCCCCACCTGCCCTCACCACCCGCAGCTCTGTTGGCCAGGACTTTGGCCAAGGAGAACGGCCGCGTGGTGGGAGGTGGGTCCAGAGCTATAAAGCCTGTGCGCCCGGAGCTGGGGAGGACACCTGGCCGAGCTGGAGTTGGGTAAGACAGGGACAGGATTGGGGGTCCACAGGGAGGGTTTAACAGGAAGTGGCAAGAGACGACATGGTGGAATCACGGAATTTAGAATCGTGGAGTTGCCCAGCCTGGCCCTTCTCCCCTGAGGGTTCTCCTCTCCGAAGCATGGGTGACAACTCCGTACTCTGGTTAGTCCTAGAGTCCCTTCCTGGCCTGTGCTGGGCAAGGATTTGTGAGTGAAGCTGTGGGAGAGAAGGACCCTGCTCAGGCCGAACCGGGGACCCAGGATTCAGGGCCAAGAGTGCTGGGTTTGGCTGTGGTGTGCATCAGCACAGGGTGGCCCTTCTTGCCACAGCTGGGCTTCTTGACTATAAGCATGAATGAGCAGATGTTAGAATGAAGATGCTGGAGCTGGGTGCGGTGGTGCAGGCTTGTAATCCAAGGCTCCGGGAGGCTGAGGCAGGACAATCGCCATGAGTTTGAGGTCAGCCTGGGCTACATAGTGAGACTCTGACTCAAAAAAAAAAAAAATTCTGATGTTGGTTGTGGTGGTGGGGATTGGAAAACTGTAATCTCAGCTTCTCAGGAGGCTGAGGCACGAGGATAGCATGTTTCAGCCCAGCCTGGGACTGAGCAGGACTCTTAAAATTTTTAAAAAATAGGACTGGAGGGCTGGGGATTTAGCTCAGTGGTTCTGGTGCCTGCTCTGAAAGCGCAGGGTCCCGAGTTTGATCCCTGGTACAAAAAAAAAAAAAAAAAAAAAATAGGGCTGAGTATAGTGGTGCATACTTGTAATCCCAGCACTCAGGAAGCTGAGGCAGGAGGATCATCATGAGTAAGGCCATCTTGGGCTACATAGTTCAAGGCCAGCCCATACTACATAGCAAGACCCTGGCTCAAAAAGCCAAAACAAAAAAATTAATAAAATAAAATGAGGCTCAGTGGTATTACGCCTCCCTCGAAAGCACAGGGTCCTGAGTTCAATCCCTGGTACCAAAAATAAATAAAATAAAATGAGCCAGGGATATAGCTCAGTGACAGAACACCCTGGGTTCAATCCTGTACATCGCCCCCCCTAAAAAATCGGGGTATAAACTGTCAAAATTAGGAATAGAATTTCAGAATGTTAGCATTGGAGGCCCAGGGAAGACGTCTCATTCCAGGAAGTGCCTTAGGGACTCAGGTCAGGCAGGAGGGGACATGGAGCACCTCTTAGCCCCTACCTGAGAGGGGTGGGATCCAGCAACACGAACCCCCACCCTGTCTCACCAACCCCTTCCGCGTTCCAGGTCTGCAACACCATGGACACCCGGTTCCTGCTGCCCCTTTGTCTCGTCCTGCTGCTGCTGGGATGTGGTGAGCAAGTCTCTGAGGAGGGGTCAGACCACAAGTGTCTTCCCAGCAAGGCCTTCTGACCTGGTCTCCACCACCTCTCTCCACACCTTCATCTCCACCCCACAGCCTCATTAGCTCCCTAACACTAACCTTCACTCCTGTTCTCCGACAGAAGTCCAGGGTACCCATCTGCCTCAGCAGGACGAGCCTACTAGCCCACATATGCTGACCCAGGTGCAGGAGACCCTCTTCAGCTACTGGGACAATGCCAAGGCAGCCGCCCAGGGCCTGTACGAGAAGACGTGCTTGCCTACTGTGGACAGGAAGATCAGGTAGGCCCATGTGTCTGAGACACCTGCTGTATCCTGGCCTCAGGAGTCCAGGCCCAGCCTCCTCCCTCAGACCCAGGGGCCCAGGCCTCTCTTCTGCCACCCTTCTCTCTCTTTTCTCTCCAGGGACATGTACAGCAAAAGCTCAGCGGCCATCAGGACTTACACAGGCATCTTTACTGACCAAATCTTGACAATACTTCAGGGAGACCAGTGACAGCCAGGTAGCAGTGCTGCAGGGGGGGGAGCCCAAGCTCCCCTGACTGCCCAGGATGGGGCTAAGCTCACCCATCCCAGCACTTCTCAGCTTTCTGCCTCCAACTCTGGCCTGAATCTTATCAATAAATGAATAATTAAGAAATTTTTAAAAATAAGCTGTCCTTTGTTCCCTTTGATGTAGCTGCTTTTCTGACGCCCCAGGAACCAACAACACGGAGGGACTGATTCAGTCCAACCAACATTTTAATGAGCACCTACTGTGTGTAGGTAGCCCTGACCAGAAGCCTGGTTCCTGGGAGCATAGAAGAGGTGAATATTGACAATAAATCATCAGAGGCACATGGAGTCACCTTTCCGCACTAAGGTCTGGCTTTCTCACGTGTAGGATGACAGATCACGGACACAGGTAAACTGCAGTGGACTTTGGTGGCAAGCAGACCCTGGGGTGACAGTTTTTCTGTTTTGCTTATTTTGCTTTTTTTTTTTTTTTTTTTTTTGTTACC